AGTGATCAGCGTGTAGCCAACCTATCATCAAATGCTAGTGCTTAACCGGAACAGTTAAACAATCTTCCAAAAGCCCAGAAACAACAGCTTCTGATGCACCGTTAAGTTCGTCAACTTGTGTCATTCAGTCGTCGTCGGTTTTGTCATCCACAATGAAACGGATGTCCGTGAACTCAAGTGTCTTGTGCTGTGACTATGCTAGTATCGGTGCATTTGGAAGGACAAAATCAATGATCAGTCAAGTGAGGATAAGCCAACTGTATATGAGAGGGTAATTGTTAAACTGACTTGCATGAATAAAGGCATTTCTAGTTTCAAGTTACTATTTGAATGCTATTATCTTTGGTGTAAATTACTCTGTGCCTACGCTTGGTTGGTCAGACACGTCGTGTGTATGTCAGTCATCTACATTCCACGAAACAATGACATGGGCAAGTTGCCACTGAAATTTGAGGGAATAGGTGATAGAGGGAAGTCACCAAATGAACTCAATGACGATTTTCCAACCTAGGGCGTCAACCTGAGAAGGGTTGCAGGAGTATTGATGTGATTCCTGCAATTTTTCAAAGGAAATACATGGGGACATGATCTGCAAGGTTAAGTGTACTGTTTGTATATATGCGTGATGTGTCATATCAATTGGTGTTTTTGGATTCACTGTGTTTACTTGTTGTTTTCATACCTTGTTGTTATGCATAATTCCGTTAAATTTTTCGTCGTGCTTACTTCTGAAGTTGTTCCGAGTCTTCCACATCCGTAAATAAATTAATCGATGTTAAAGACAGCAGATGGGTCGTATACGCCAGAGGGGCTAGTGCTGGGAATAACATGCAAACGGAGATAATTGTTAGCTGTGGTCCCACACGCTGGGGAGAAAGAGTGTAAACGACTGAGGCTCGCATACGTCAGCGTTACTAGAACCGAGGCAGAATGTGTGACAAGTGATAGTGAATAGATAAGAGGATGTGCGAAGAGTATCATGAGGTGCTGCTATGGTTACGTTTCTTTCTCCAAGAGTCATTCTAGCGAGTAGGGATTGTGCTGCAAGATGTCAAGAGGAGGCCTTTATCTGGAAGGCGTAAGTCGTCACCGATGAGTGAAATTGTGCTGTGGGTATGCTTGTGGTGTGTTGGCTTTTCTGTTTGTTTTCCATTTCAGCTCTGTCCGTGTGACCCAGGTTCTCGCAATGGCATCCAAGTCAACGTGTATTGGTCGTGGTGGAAAAAGGGATGGATCCGTATTTTGCTGGGGAGTGTCAATGTAATTGAAGACTGAGCGATCAATTCATGGTTGTTTGCTCAAACCCAACTCCTCCATATTTTTCGCGGAGTCATCAACCCAGCAGTCATCGTCTCATCGTTCGCTGTTCAGTGGAATTTAAAAAACTATCAGAAGTATTATCGTGATTTATTGTTATAACATTTATTCTTTGACCTAATATGTGATAACCTTATTGTTGGTAATATGTTGGCGTAAGAATAAAGGATTCTTGAGTCGCCAATCAGTGTTTTGTTTTTCTCGTTGGCTAATACAAAGTGTTTCTGAAAGTCTTCGAGGGGCAGCGTGAGGTCCAGCGTAGTAAGAGCTGGACATTTACAGTTTATGAGACTTGGCTGACACTCTGATCGCACTCCTCATGTCTCCTCGGCGCTGCTGTTTGAGAGATTGCTGACTTTATCCAACGTAATTTCAGACCCATTGCCATTACTTTCCCGTTTCTATTGCTTATGGAAAATCTAGTACTTTTTAAGATTGAACCCTCCCTTAAATATGTTGTGAAGTGTACCTCCTTTAAATGCTTTGAAGACCACAAGAATATGCCTGTAGACAGGGTAGGCGTACTTTAGATGCTGCATCCGTCTTACACAACAGTGTCCTCTCATCATTAGATAAAGGTGCCAAATACGTCCGCTACACGTTTCTCGACTTCACTTCAGCTTCCCCTGTACCTAGATATCTCTTGCTGAATAAGCTCTCTATGACACAAACTGAGACCTGGGTTACTAACGGGTTGCATTCCTACTTCTCTAACAGAATGCAGTATACCGTATACAAAGGCACATCCTCCTCTGCTGTGCTCACTGAAGCTGGTGTCCCCCAAGGTGCTGTACTCTTCCCAATACGCGTTGAAGACATGAAAAGGTTGACTGCTTTCGATCATAGATGTCTGCGATCTCTGTCTCACGTTAGGTGGTTTCACAAGATAAGTAATGTTGACGTTAGGCGTAGAGTCTTGGGCATAGAGGGAAAATCAATCGACGAGGCTATAAAGTTACATAAATTGAGATGGCTAGGTCACGTGGTGCGCATGCCTGGCCATCGCCTCCCCCGACGGGCATTACTAGCTGATATAGAGGTGCAGGTTGGAAAAGAGCCAGTGGTGGCCAAACAAAAACATGGCCTCATCAATCCATGAAATCCTTGACAGTTAAACTGAGTCAGGTAGGGAGATGCAGACTTCCGGGTTGGGGCCCTCGGGACTGACTCTAAGAATCAATGGCTGGAGACAATAGGTGACATGGCTCAAAATCGTTGTCAATGGCCAGCTCAGATGTATTCAGTCTCTGTAATCTTTCATATTCCTTTCTACCACTACCCATTCTGTTTCACTCTTATACTTGTCAAACTCTATTAAATTCTCTTCACTCATCTTCTTGTCTGCCTCTGTGTGCTATTTGGAACGTGGCAACTGGAACTGCTGCACTTCGGTGCCAAGTTCTATGTTGAATCCAGACAGACCAGACAGACTCTTCCCACTTCTTTTCTTTCTTTCTACAGGACTTACCATCTTCAAATGACATTAATTTTGTCAAATATGCTGACGACCTGACTGCATCTTCGCATGTCAAATGTCAAAGTGACTGCTCCAAACTAAATGGCTTTTTATCAGAAGTCAGCCAATGGTCCAAAGAAAACGGTCTTACCTTAAATACCTCCAAATGCTAAACAGTCAATTTCACCTTTAGGCATAAATCCGACCTAAACAAACTGGTAAGCACTCACGAGGTGTGCAACATTGATGGCACTGAAATAGAAACCAAGTCTGAAATTAAATACCTAGGCGCCATTCTATCTGTTGATCTTTCCTGATCGTCTCATATCTTGATGAGTTCTAAGAAAATATTTCGTCTTACCTTCTACATCAAAAAGTTAAGACATTCTGGGATAACTTAACCCTTACTCTTACGATTCGTTAACTCTTGCATCCAGCCTATTATTCACAGCTGTTCCCCCTTAGTTTTTCCAGGGCTACTGAAGAAGGACTGTATCTTATTACGCAGGATTTTGAAGGTTATCAGCAGGATAAGCAACGTGCCACTTAACCAGCTTGTTAATATTCTGGTTGACAGGCACATGGACTCATGTGAAAAATGGGCTAAATCCATTTTATCTAACTCACAACACCCTCTTCGTTCACAACTCTCTCCTAGTTTCTCTTCAGGCAAAACCAGAAGCCTATATAGAAAACTATATGCTGGCACTAGGAAGTACAAAAACTCAAACATACCCTACTTAGCTCGTGTTCTGTGCGATAAAGAAAGCATTAGGCGTGATACCTATAACATATTAAACAGTCAGTAGAACAACTTGATCTCGTCTTTCCAACTCATATCATTTATAGGTACGACTTTTTTCTTTCTTTCCTTTCCTTTTCTCTCTCGTTTTTTTCTGTTATGTGCTGTTTTGTTTCTTTCTTCCATACAAACTATATTAAAATATTCTTCGTTCTCTCACACTATATATCTCGACCTTTTTGTTACTACTTACACCAGTAAATATGCTAGCATCTACTTTTCTAACACATTCAAACATTCTGTTTAATTTTGGCTTTGCTACGGACAGGCCAATATGTTGTTGTCAAAACGAACTAAGATTACCCTTAATCTATGTAGAATTTTATTTATTGATAATGTGCTAACTGGATGCAATACTGTAGTAAAATGGTGAGAATTCCATTCCGTATCACAGGTACTTGTTTGGAATAAAGCATATTATTATTAAGATGGATCAACGTTATTTGCACACGACCTAAACCGGTCACACTTATCTCAAGTGACTGTCCAACTAAGTCTGTGGTTGAGTCGTTCGTGTGAGGGGTGTTCAACAACTCGATTTATCGACGCGACCTACCACACCATAGCTCGAAGTCATCAACAATCGCCAGTTTATGTGGTGTGGGGTGAATATATTGCGGATCAGACAGATTTAATTGCCAGTTCCTGGCCATGACCATAGCTAACTCTTATACATCCTTGTTAGCTGATATTTGCTGATCAGCCGGAGTGTTCTTTGTAGCTCCAGTGTGCCCAGACTCAAAGTTTGGAAGTTTTCTGTTAGGTGGGTTCATCACTTATGTAGTGCCAATCATCAGTCATTCATCCGAAGCAGAGAGTGAAGTGCGCGTTAGCAGTTGCTAGCTGCGAGCCAGTAAGAACTGCGACCCCAAGTCTAAGACAATATTTACAAACAATCCTATTGGAGAGGAGTGAGATAGAAGGATTATTCCAACCTGCTTCGTGTCTTGTCATCCTTGACACCAATGTACGTAAACTTTGCAGTCGATCTGATGTCAGACAAGTATGGAGTTTAAAAATGAGAAAGCTTTCTTACTTATTCCACACAACTGATAACCCTACGTGTCACTGTCAAATTTCGGGAAGCTCTAAGAGCTCATTACGAAAAACAGGAGCCTTGAATTTTTTCGACAATAATTTTTGGGCAGTTTCTCAACTCTACTTATCCACGAAGAACGTAAAGAAACATGCATGTGCTTAATGTAACTTTGCACTCTTTTTGGGACTGATTTCCATAAAGAACGTTATTCAAATAGGATATTGAGAGATAATTGTAGAAATAATTGTGAATCAAAAATGATTTCTCTTAATCTAAGACAAGGCAAAAGTAACACGAATGAGTCGGTGATAGGTCAAGTGACTTAGTTAACATACTTCGATAGGTCATTGGTTTAGACGGCGGGCTAATTAAAAGTTATTCAATTTATGGCAACCGCTTCATCAGATAATTTGTTGGACTCAGATAGTGAAGGTGAACGGCATTCCAAATGCCCAGCTTATTCTTCAAGGTTTGTTAGTTGTTTCACTCCCTTTTTTGATAATCTCTACATTATTATTGTGGTTATTATCCAATATCGTTTTTACGAGCTAGTATAAACCAATTTGATTTCTTTATGCTCGCTTCTTGATTGTAAGGTATAGGTTCCTAATCTTCGGTAAACTTCTGAGTAGCTTGTCCCGCCACTCGACTGTCGTAGCTTTGGTTGACTCCAAAGGGAGTAGTGCTGGGATTAATTATATGTGGTTTGTAGCATGAGGTATGTTAAGACTGTTACTACTGTGATTGGAGTTGATCCTTTCACCATTTAGTCCTCCGGTATCGTCGACAAAAGAAAAGAGATAGTAATAATAATAACAATGATAATAATAATAGATATAATTAGTTAAGTTATTCAAACTAAAAGACAGAAACGGAAGTAGGAAAGCGTAACAACAGTCAGCTCATTAGGTGTGAAGAATAATACATATATATCGGTAATAATAATAGTAATAATAATTGTAATAATAAGTTTTCAGGAGAGTAAGACGGGAGAGAATGTAAAGAAGTAAAACGACAAGTTTAATTGTCTACCCTGAATTGTGTATGCGATTTTAAAGAGATAGGCCATTTGGATGCAGTCCTCGTGTCGCTGCATGGTTGTCCAGCCTTCGCTTAAAGGCGTCCAAAGACGGTGCCATAGCTACGTCTGCCGGTGAGGAATCCCAGGGACGGCAAACCCACAGTGAAAAGAAGTGGGAGCGCACCCGGGTCCTTGCCCTCTGGTGAGCTATCCTTCTGGGATTTCCACGTGGGAGCCTATACCTACTCAGTGGCAGAACACCTTTGTTAGGGTGATTCTGGTCATTTGTTATTTTGTAGGCAGTAATCATATCCCCCCTAAGCCGACGGTAGGTAAGTGTGAACAGGCCTAATTTCTTCAGCCTTTCATCATATGGTTTGTTTCGGAGACCAACCACTCCTTTTGTTGCCTGTCGTTGGACTCTTTCCAAGAGTTTGGCATCTCTTCTCAGCAATAATATTATACACCTCAAGGTGTGGCCTGACGTATGTTTTGTAAAACCTTAGAAAGAGCTCAGGAGTGAGTGCACCTGTCTATGCGTAAAGTGTATGACCGCATATGCCCTCGCTACATCCCCTGTGTAATTTACGCTTGTGTCCATTTTTTCCGTTAGAACTAGACCTAAGTTGCGTTCCGACGTTGTGCAGGACAAGCTTTCATTGCACAGGGTGTAACTTGCATTCGGGAGTCTACAAGTGCGTAACTTCACTACTTTACACTTTTTCAAGTTGAAAGTCATGCCACTGGCCACCGCCCAGTCTTCCAGAAGGTTTAGGTCTTCCTTTAGCCTGTCTGAGTCCTCCGGACACTTTATTGCCCTCCATATTTTTAGGTCGTCAGCGTATAGGAGAGTCCGGCAGCTTAGACGGCGTGGTAGATCATTGATAAAAATCAAAAACATCAGTGGTCCTAGGATAGAACCCTGCGACACTCCTGATGACGATCTGTGCCAAGATGATCGGACTCGGTTAACCTTAGTGCAAAATTGCCTGTCGGCTAGGTAGTCCTTTAACCATGACAGAAGTGGCTCACCTATACCTGCCTGGCTTATTTTATGTAGGAGAAGGTCATAGTATTAGTCATAAGTCCCAACTTTCTGGGAATGTATAGTTTTTCATGGTCATATTTTGGTTGGATTACCATCTTGGAATACAGGATTTTGTGGAATAAACGTTTCGTGACTGCAATATTTTTAATCATGATTTGATCACGGCACTTTATGGTTGTGAGACCTGGCCACTGAGAGTGGAAGACATGAAAAGACTAGCTGTCTTTGATCATAGGTGCCTGCGGTCTATTTCCCGTGTAAAGTGGCATAATAAGGTGAGCAACATTGAGGTTAGGCGTCGAGTTCTAGGTAAGCGGGGGAAATCAATCGACGAAGTCGTGAAGCTACAAAGACTGAGATGGTTAGGACATGCGTTGCGTATGCCAAGCCATCGCCTCCCTCGACGAGCAATGTTAGCGGATGTAGGGTCAGGCTGGAAAAAAGCTAGCGACGGTCAAACAAAAACTTGGCACCAGTCAATGAAATCCACAACAGTTGGTTTAAGCCACGTAGGAAGGTGTAGACTTCCAGGCTGGGGTCCTCGGGACGGTAAAAATCTATAGTTGGAAACAATTGGTGACATGGCTCAAAATCGTTCTCAGTGGCGCAGATGCATCCACTCCTTGTGACTTATGATCTCCAAAGAAACTGTTTTGTTCTTCGTTATTATTATTCCTTTGTCTCACACCTCTGCTCACTGTTTCTATTATGCTTTTCTTGTACTTTCTTCTCTTGCTTCGCGTGCTACACGGAGTGTGGCGACTTGAACTTCCGCACATTTGTGCAAATTTCTATGTCGAAAACAGACAGACAGAGACAAATCACGGCACTACGGTGAATTTTCTATGGAAGTGATTTATTTAATGTTCATACAACTTCTAGTCGGATGAAAATGGACGGAGAATGGTTAAATAGTGGTTGAAAAAATTAGATGGTAAAAATGGCAACATAATGGCCAAATCCCAGTTAAGTAATGCTCGAAATCGGAAAAGATTCCTTAAATAATGGAAAAGTAGTGATGAAGTAATGGAATATATTGATCAGAATTGTATAATATTGGTTAAATTCTGGTCAGGAAAAACTGTCTTACAATCAGAATTTGTCCACTTTTTTCTTGCCATTAGCCGTACCCATTACTTCCTCACTACTCACCATGATTTGAATTCAAGCCAATAATTTTTACCTTGTAGTTAAATATAATATTATTTAGTTACTCTTAATCACTAAAATGTAGTTGGATAAAACTGGGTTTTTGGAGCAAAATAATGCCCTCGTCTCTCATAAGTGTAGTTTCTTGATATTTCAAAGTTCATGGTTAATATTAGTTACGACATCCTATAAAGGCAACTCAAAGCATTTAATTCGAGCTTGTGGGTCTAACAGTTTCTACATATAGTGAAGGGTTTCATATGTTTATCGATTACTGCCTTTTACCATTGCAATTAAGAAATTTTTTATAATTTCCCATCTATCGAAAATTTTCGGTGCACTACAGAAACTTCATGTAGAAAATCCATCAAAAAATCTCTCCTGACGATTTCATGATCCTGACCGTACGTGGACTTGTGACACCTGTTTGTTGTAGTCTCTTTGCATCATTCGCTCCATATTTTTGTGCTCATAGATTGTGGCACCCTGCATTACTGTACGTATGTGCAATGTTCCACGTTGAAACTCAGTCATCCAGCTACGAGCTACACTTATCGTGTGTGGGTTGATAGTACTGCCTATTTTCTCGACTGACATAGAGGGGGTGGTGTTTGAACTCAGGATCTGTGGACTGTAGGTCGAGTACTTAGGCCAATCATCCAATTTTTCACATCACTTGCATTTGATAGGGGAGGTTCTGTGCAAGACATGCTCAGATTTTTTGCTCAATCTATTGAAAAGACCATATTCTTAGCGTCTTCACATATCATCCGCTTACTCCACGATCGGCTTCACCTGATTGGGTTGTCGACGTTGGTCCTTCAAATATAACTGAGTTTGCAGAAGCTGCTTTAGTTTGAAACAAAACAAAGCAGAGACAAAGGCTATGCAATTATTTATCTTGATAAACCTGAATAAATCAAGAAGAGCATATGAACAATGCACTTACATAGGAGTCGAATAATGTAGTTCAACATAGATGAAAAGAACCAGCCAAGAATATACATAAAGACGAAGTTTAGGGTAGGAAATTACACTTTGAAAATATAATCAATATAAAAAAATTAACAAAAATAAGGTAGATACTTTGATTGGACACTAGTAACTAGTGTGATGTGTCTAGTCCTTTCTTTGGTGCTGACTGAATTCTGTCGGTCAGATTTGCAATGTGGCCACCATTCTAGGTAGCTCTCCATCACGGTGCACATTGATTAGATGATATTAGATGTTTGGAGGCAATCGGCCACAAGGAGCCTTGGGCCTAGGTTTCGTGCTAGTTGGCACTCACTAGTCACCAAGGCGTATCTGAGATTACCTTGAAGGAACTCATGTCTTTTCTGAGATTCGAACCCGCGTCACCCAGAGACGTTACCACTGAGGTATTCTGGCTAGCGATTGACTTTGCTGACGAGTGCCAACTAGCACGAAACCTGTCTGTCTGTCTGTTTTCGACATAGAACTTTGCACAAATGTGCGGAAGTTCAAGTCGCCACATTCCGTGTAGCACGCGAAGCAAGAGAAGAAAGTACACGAAAAGCATAATAGAAACAGTGAGCAGAGGTGTGAGACAAAGGAGTAATAAATAAATACAAAACAGTTTCATTGAAGATCATAAGTCACAGGGAGTGGATGCATCTGCGCCACTGAGAACGAAACCTAGGTCCAAGGCTTCCTGTTGATTGCCTCCAACCATTTAATATCATAAAAAATAAGGTAGATTATATTTTCTGAGATAAGATAAGATTAACAACGTTTTTGGCCAGTCCCTTTTCTGACCTCTGTTTCATTAAATTATTTGACCCTTACGTAAGTGTATGGTTTTATTTTACACCTCTGTTCAATTTACAACATTCATTCTTAATTCTAGAAAATTCATTAATCGTTTACATACATACTTATGAGCCCAACAACAACAACAACTTTTACTCCTTTCTATTATGCTATTTAATCACGTGATATTAGTATCCTTTACCTTTATGATCGATAACTATTTGAGTGTTGCCTTGGACCTAGGTTTCATATCGGTATTCAATTGCTTGTGGGTGTATGTGGTTGATAAGAAACAATGAAATATAACGACGTTATTTTATCCCGCTCAATGTGCTCTTTTTGCTTTGTTTAACATTAAGATTAAGTAGTTGACTGAACTGTTTATTTATCTGTTTTACTCTGATCTAAATATGAAATGTTATTCTCCTAAGTCAAATGTAATATTGTACTGCGGGACTTGTCTTTGTCGAATTCTAGTTGTAGCATAGGAAATGAAGTGGTTGAATGTATTGACTATTTCGCTTATTTGGGAAGTTGCTTTAGTCATAACGAAGTGATTACTGATGAAATGGCTGCGCAGATACATTACCAATTCTGGTCGTCTTTGGCTCATAAATGATGTCCATCCATCCATCAAAGGACATGTATGGTGTGCAACAGTTTGCCCTGTTATTCTTCACGACTCACAGTGGAAGCTATGAAAAGGTTAACCGTTTTTAACCTTTCATTCATTTACTCCTGTTAGATGGTGTAATGCAGTCAGTCAGTAATAATGAGTTTAGGCGTAAAGGGTTAGCTAGGAAAGTTATTTGATAGGGTGGTGAAACGGCCGATTAAGATGGCTATGGTATGTGTTGCGCATGCCGAGTTATCACTTTCCTTATGGAGCAATACTGATTGAGATCAGATTAGGTTGGGAGAAAGTTAAGAATGGTTAGACCGAAACATTGCATCACTGAAAATCGTCCTCAAGGGAGAAGGTGTATTTACTCCTTGTGATCTCCTAGATTCCGAAAGTCTTCACTAATTTTTATGTAACTGATTCTCGTGCACCTTTCTATCCTACTTTAGCTTGACTACATCCCCTTCCTCTGCTTTTATGTTTGCTTTTCCGAAGTATGGCAATTCGGATTGCTGTTCACCAAATGTTATCACTAGGTATTATTATAGTTTAAAACAATTAGTCCCTTTTATAAATTTTGATAGCGTTATTATAGTTAGCACCTGGTTCATTGCTTTCACTCAATGCAAAATAGTGAGTAATTATAGAATGGTAGTTGTTCTCATGGCTACGGACGCAGTAGCTAATCACTGCTAACCGTATCTCCTGATTTTTCTTCTTAAGTATAACTCTATCGAGGAAGGTGTTTTGCTTAATAATTTACTGTCCTATCTTAAAGGTGTGGGAGATTGGTTACGTAGTTATTTGTAACGTATAATAAAATAGGAGAAGTTCTTGAAGTTAGGCGCAATTTTACGTAGGGAAAACAAGTTAATTTATACATATGTAGATTTTCTCTTCCTATGAGTGACAATATGCACATTTGTCTTGTAGGCCATAATCATCAGCTAAGAGACATTGAAAGTAAGGTTTTGTTGAGCTTGAAAAAAATACTAGAGATGGTCACGTCACAGTACGACACGAATCCATGAAGTCTCTGAATGTTGCTTTGGGTTATGCAGGAGAAAAGAGGGATTGGTCGGCTGAGATCTCCAAAATGCTAAGAATCAATACTTAACGACATGGCTTAGAATCGTTCATATTAATTTTATCATCATCTTCATTTCTATCGTCTCTTCTTGTATATGGCTCTTGTTCATTGTAGCATTGGTTTTTGTCTGTTCCTTAATTTGTATGTGTGCTGTTTGGAATCATTATACTTCTGTACAAAGTTCTACGTCATTGTGTCAGTCTACATTGTGTATCAGATGATTTTCTGTTTTATCAATGACATGTAATCACAACATCATCACTATCCATGTTACAGTGTTTCATTTTTCAGTATTCCATTTACTTTATCCTGCTGGTGTTGCTTAATCTTATTGAGACTGTTTTTCAACAAAAAAATTAATCATTTTAGTTGCGTGGATTGCTGTCGAAGTTGTCGGGGTCCAAAAGTCTATCATGCACGTGTAGTTAGTCTTGGTAGACCATCAAAAACTCAAAAGTTTCCTTCGAATAGAATTAATAATCAAAAGTACAATGTGATCTCTTTTATTCCGCTGGTAAGTCTTGTTAATTTCTTTTTCCTCGATTGAACTTTGTGAATATTATTTGTCAATATGTACGCGGATTGTTGGCTAGGATTATTATTATTCTTATTCCTATTCATTTCTTGTTTTCAGAGTGGAACGTAGGACTTCAACAGCACAGCTCCTTTTCACTTTATTCTCTGCCGTCATTTTCTACTGGCTACACGACTGCGCACAAGCTTTTATTTCCCCTTTACACGATCTATCACTATCTCACCCTTTTGCTTCCCGTTCGGGTTCCACTTGAGGGCTTGGTGGTGTGCGATGTCACTCAACGATCTTCTCAGTTTATGTATTGTTTACAACTCATCTTCATTTCCTTCAGCATATTTGTTCGACAGTGGAATGTCGACTGGTTCGCTGCAGTGCCAGAGCTCCTTGTCACCTATCTTTTCTGGCCTGCTATCTGATCTACAGTACTACCAAGATATGCAAGTCTTCAGCCTCTTGTAAGTGCTTTTGGTCACGCGCCTACCGAGCCCTAATCTGTAAGTAGCATAGCTCTATGTCACTGGAAAAGTAATCATAGCTGATATGTAACTGGTGAAAGTCCTGGAGCAGAGAGAGTTATATGACAGAGTATTGTCATTGAGCGTCTGCCAGTGGAATTCAATGACTCGTTAGATCCACTCGGAACCGAGTGGATTATAGGACTTCAAACAGCACATCTACACTTTGTCCTGTTCGCTACAAGTCTCTTCAGATGGCTCCACAATTTCCCAGTCTCCCATCTCCTCCTCCTCACATGGTCTTCACTTCACCCCTGGAGCGATGACCTGGTGTACGATGTCATTCGACAGTCTTCTCAGCGTGTGTCCAATCCATCTCCATTTTCTTGAATATACTTGTTGACTATATTTAGTATATCTCGTGAACACTAGATCGTGATTTCTGTAAATAGATAAGGGACAGTGTCAAAAACACAAGGTCATAAATGTTAACGGTCAAGTTTGTCCGTAGTCAGCAGCTGCAAAATGTACCAGAAGCCTTTAAACAACCTTTCTCGCTTATAAAATTGAAATCTACATATTTTATTGCTACGATTGGAAGCATTACTTCTTTATAGCACAGGTAACAGTTATTTTTTTTATAAATATGGTTTAAGAAATAAGTTAAAATAGCTTGGCGTGGTACTAATGTATATATAATCCAGCTTTACAGTTTTCTAATAACTACAGGCAAAACAGGAAACAGCATACAATTAGTTAATTTTGTTGTCTGTTGTGTTAAGGCGTGAATCGCCTTTGTAAAGCCAAATTCTACACCTGTTGACTTATTTGAAATTTCGAGTTGACATCAGTTAGAGAACCCTTGAAAAATCAAGGAGTACTGGTCAGCTGTTTTATTTTAGTTTGGAACTCTTCACACTAGTAGACATCTAAAGGGCTGATTGAACCCAGGACCTTCCGGATACAAGACGAGTTCGTGGGCCATTCAGCCATTGGGACCTTACCCAATGACCCATGAATTCCAGCTTGTACTAATATGTGGTATATATAGCAACCACCAGCTTGCGTCATCGGTGATTAATTCTCTTCCTGTATGGCTTTTCGGATCCCGCTGATCATGACTTCTTAACAAAACTTCAGGTGACTTCTTGTAAAGAGCCAGTCTCCAGTGCGCATCAGATTGATGTACGAGTTTTCACGGATTTGATAAGTTGCAAGAACGGTCCTAGAGACCTGTCCGGTACTGTGGTTTTCCAGGGGTTCTCTAACTGATGTCAACTCAAGATCAAACTTGTAATCAATCAAATCTCTGCAAACCAACGCTTGGTAATTTAATTTTAGATTTTCCCGTCGACTAATTGGACCGAAGTGCTCGATCTCAGGTTGACATGTCGGCTTCTTGTGCAGATGCTTCGACGATGTCTGGGCATTTAATTAGAATTTAATTGATGGCTGGAATCTAGGATGCACATTTCGTCCTATTTGGGACTCGTTGGTCAGCCGGATGTACCTGCATTCCCCAGTAAGTGAGGCTCGAACCCATTGCCGATATTTTCAGATACCAAAGCGTTATCCACTAAACCACTTGGACCACGAGAGCCACCTCTTGTGCAACGGGTCATATTAATTATTTAATTGAATTTTAGATTTTCCCGTCGATTGATTGGATCGAAATCTAAAATCCAATTAAATAATTAATATGACCCGTTGCACAAGCGGTCTAGTGGACAACGCTTTGGCGTCTGAAACTATGGACACTGGGTTCGAGCCTCAGTGGGAACGTCATCACTCACTGGGGAATGCAGGTACATCCATATAACGAGTCCCAAATAGGACGAAATGCGCATCCTGGATTTCCACTGCTAGTCATCAATCACCAATTAAATTCTAACGCTTGATAATTTGAAATCTGTTAACTAGATAAACCTTGGTTTTTTAAAGTTTGAAGTGTTCTCTAATCTCTGGTGCAGGTGCCTCAGTGACATTCTAAAAAATTTCGGAATCGGTGAAGACGGAGGATTTCCTACGGATATTTATTTATCCTTGAGTGTTTATTCTATCCACCAGCATGGTAAACGAACCGTCTAGGTAGAGATAAATCTTTAATAAGAGTTTGCGAGGAAAACAAATTTCAGAGTCGTGTTGAAGGTAATACCAATAGTACCATTATAAGGTATGTTTCAAGAGAATGATATCTTAGTGAATACTTTCAAATCAACGTTGACTTCTTGAAGTGCACAGGTAACGTGATGCAGACTGATAGAGGAAACGGCCAAAACTGAAATCAGCACTTTAAGTCAATGGCTGCAGCAGAGGTGGAAGTGTTTATTCCTCAAATCTGGATTTAACTTACTCTATGGATATGAAGTCACATCATTGGAGAGCTTGTTTTAACCTTGGGTTAATTGTCAACCAATCAGAATAATTTGTTCTCCTCCGACCTAGCCGAACTGTAACGTGGCTAAGAATGAATGAATACGATGTGTTTTTCCGTAATAATAAAGATCCGTTATCCAGTCTCTTATCTTCTGTTGCATACACTGTTTTACTTACTTTAATAGATAAATTTTCTGTGAATTGGAATTAAAAAAATTCTTTTCTTTATTTTCACAGGTTCTATTTGAACAGTTCAGCATCTTTTTGAATCTTGTTTTCCTTGTGATTGCATGCAGTCAATTTATTCCTGAATTGGGCGTAGGTCATTTGTATACATATTGGGGACCGCTTGGTTTTGTAATCGCTGTAACAATGATTCGAGAAGCAGTAGATGATATTGGTCGATGGATGCGAGATCGGAAGTGAATATGGCTATTTATGGGAAATATGTACGTAATAATAAAGAAATCTCTGTTATGAGTTCAGATATCAAGGTGGGTATTTGTGCAATTGTAAATCTGTCTGTTTATAGATATAATTTCTTTTTTTAAAAATTTCTAATTCAATTTTGATTTTCCCGTTGATTCACTGGCTCGAAATAACTGACACCCACTGCACAAGAGGTGACTCTCGGGGCCTAAATGGTTTAGTGGATAACGCTTTGGCGTTTGAAACTATGGATAGGTACTGGTTTTCAGCGTCAAAGGAAACATCATCACTGACTCGCTGTAGGATGCAGGTACATTCGGATGATGAGTCCCGAATAGGACGAAGTACACAGCGTGGATCCCATTGCTGTCTGTCTGTTTTCGACGTAGAACTTTGCATCGATGTGCGGCAGTTCAAGTCGCCACACTCCCTCCATGTAGCACACAAAGCAAGAGAAGAAAGTAGAAGAAATGCATAATAGAGACAGTAGACAAAATAATAGTAATCACGAAGAACAATAGAGTTTCATTGGAAATCATAAGTCACAGGAAGTGGATGCATCTGCGCCAGGCATTGAGAACGATTTTGAGCCATATAACCAATTGTTTCCAACCATTGGTTTTTACCGTCCCGAGGACCCCAACCTGTCAGGAAGTCTACACCTTCCTACGTGGCTGGCTTAAACTAACTTGTAGATTTCACTGACTGGTGCCATGTTTTGGTTTGACCGCCGCTAGCTCTTTTCCAGCCTGACCCTATGTCAGCTAACATTGCCCTGTGTCGAGGAAGGCTATGACTAGGCATACGTAACACATGTCCTAACCGTCTCAGCCGGTGTAATTTCGCAGCCTCGTCACCGATTGATTTCCCCTCCTTACCTAGCACTCGACACCTAACCCTCAATATTGCTCACCTTATTATACCACGGGAGATAGAGCGCAGGTACCTATGATCCTACTGCTAGTCACTATCTGCCAAATTAAATTTATAATTTCTTCGTCGATCAGATTCCTACTAAACTAACATTTAAGAGTCATAATTCAAAATGACTATCATCGTATTTGGTAATGGGTTTATGCTGCATGGTAAACAGGACCGATAGCTTTTGATCAGCACTCACAATTGACCAACATGACCAAAATTGATCAATCGCTTAAAATCTTATCTTTTAATTTCTGTAGCTTAGAAACAATTACGAAGTAGAGCTAGTTAGCTACCTAGCTCATCTTGCTCTACAGATCCCATTCCTCTGTATACGGTTTACCGTTTGAGTATCTGTAGTAAATTGTTTAAAAGTGCTGATTATTCCCCTCACTTGGAAAGCTCTGTACTACTCATGGTGGTTTAATAACGAACGAAACTTCCATAGAGATTCAGACGACTGTTTTGGCTTTCATTAAGTCGTGTCGTATGTGTGACTATTATTATTATTACTTGGGTCCTTCAGAGGAACACAGGGCTTCAGCAGCATATCTCCATCTCACCTAGCCCTCTGTAGTATTTTTAGTTGACTTCACAAGCTGTCCTTTCCTCCATACATGATTTCCTCTATGTCACACTGGGGCGCCCAACTCGTCATTTCCCATTTGGGTTCCACTTAAGGTGTTATACCTGGCTCACGATGTCACTTGACGGCCTCCTCAGTTTGTGTCCGATCTATCTCAATTTACTTCGGAATATTTGTCGGGCGATAGATTCTTCGTAGGTTCGTCCTCAGAGTTCCTTCTTTTCCTCCACGCTCCCAGTGAAACATGCGGCTCCAAACCAGAGGCTTGAAGTTTCTGTAGCAGTGTTGGTTTTTACAGGATGGGGTCGCTAGCCTCATGCCCAACCTTTCCTCTTTAACGGTCTCACTACTGGCTTAGCGAAGTAAAGGAGTGCGCCGGCCGAGGATCGAACCCAGGACCATGTGCATGGTCGACGAGCGTCCTAACCGCTGTGCCACCGACGCACTGAGTTCCTTCTTGCCATCTCATATTCAATATGCAGCTAAGGTAACTGTTGATGAGAGTCAGCAGTTGCCTGTTTGAAACGGTTTCCATGACGTGTTCTCCAAGCCTCTGAACCATACGTATATAAGCACTGATTTCGCATACATGTAGAGTAGGCGAGATATTCGATTGCACATTAGAATTGGATGTGAAACAACCGCTGATTAAATCAGGGATTTTCGTATCACAAATATCACCTCGATAGACGATGAATGAAAAATCCATTTCTTTCTTCATATAACTACATTTTCCCTTGATATTGTTGTTCTTAATTACCTGTAAGGGTTTCTTCATGTACCAGGAGATTATAATATCCATTTGACCAGGTTAAAGCAGTTGGAACGGGATTTGAATCCAGCACCTATGGACTTAAAGCCTAGTAATTAAGCCAATAAGCCACAGCTCCACTGTAGTTTCTTTCCCTCTCTCTGTCATGTGACTGTATTACAGCATTCATCGCAAAAGTTGGACTATATTTATATGTTTATTTATTCTTTACTTCTCCTTTTTTTATCTTAAAGCATTTTGAGGTAGTAGTCATCTTGTTTTCATTCTTGTCCTCATTTATAACATCTTTTATGCATATAGGAGATTCAATTAACTCCATTACATAATAAATCTAGTTATGTCTGATGACAATAGGGAATAGGAGAAAGATGCTTAGGAAGGCTTCGTGTGCTTTCGGAAGTGATTGGGCGGTTGTTACTTCCCGGCTGCCCACACCGTGGAAGTTGACTGATTCTTCGGGTACCTGAAACAGAGAGAGGGTTAGTGATACGTGACCGCAAAGCCCAGGGGACAACTGCTTGAGGCCGGTCACACACGGCCTGTGTGAACTGGTTTCTGGGATTGGTTCCGTATTAGTAAACTTACCGCCGGTTACGGACCACCGTAGGGTAAGTCGGGATGTTTTAATTTTTGGGGTCGACCTTTTCTAACCCCCTCCTTCTGGAGTGGAGAGACATCATAGCTGGCTGGCATACTGGCCATCTGAGGGAAACACCTCACTGCTGTTACACCCCTGTGCCCCAGCAGTACGACTTCGCCTTCAGACCCCCAGCATAGTGTAAGAAAGATTCTTACACTACTCCGGTAACTGATTTCAGTCTAATCACTATCCTAACAGCCTTCCTGGCATGGTAGGATCTGCAGAAACATTTGTTCCAGCCAGTGTAGCTTGTTGGGTCATTGCGATGTGCAAGCTCGACCGCCACGTCAAGGTAGCAGCTATCGGTTGGGTCTGGTGACAATAACTTTGCAATTTGTGTTACACAGAAGGGTTACTTTTCCCTTATACTGGGTTATAGACTGTCTGTCTGTCTGTTTTCGACATAGAACTTTGCACAAATGTGCGGAAGTTCAAGTCGCCACATTCCGTGTAGCACGCGAAGCAAGAGAAGAAAGTACAAGAAAAGCATAATAGAAACAGTGAGCAGAGGTGTGAGACAAAGGAGTAATAAAGAAATACAAAACAGTTTCATTGAAGATCATAAGTCACAGGGAGTGGATGCATCTGCGCCACTGAGAACGATTTTGAGCCATGTCACCAATTGTTTCCAACCATAGATTTTTACCGTCCCGAGGACCCCAGCCTGGAAGTCTACACCTTCCTACGTGGCTTAGACCAACTGTTGTGGATTTCATTGACTGATGCCAAGTTTTTGTTTGACCGCCGCTAGCTTTTTTCCAGCCTGACCCTATATCCGCTAACATTGCTCGTCGAGGGAGGCGATGGCTTGGCATACGTAACACATGTCCTAACCATCTCAGTCTTTGTAGCTTCACGACTTCGTCGATTGATTTCCCCTGTTTACCTAGAACTCTACGCCTAACCTCCATGTTGCTCACCTTATTATGCCACTTTACACGGGAAATAGAACGCAGGCACCTATGATCAAAGACAGCTAGTCTTTTCATGTCTTCCACTCTCAGTGGCCAGGTCTCACAACCATAAAGGAGGACGGAGCGGACTGATGAGCAGTACACCCGCCCTTTGGTCGATAGTCGAACATCTCGTCTACGCCAGAGTCGGCGTAAACTAACAAATGCGAAACGAGCCCCTTGTATTCGTGCTGAGATTTCGTCAGAGATCAGCCCGTTGGGGCTGATGGTACTTCCCAAATAAGTGAAGCGGTCAACGTGCTCTACCACTTCACTTCCTATTTTTAAACTAGGCGTCGATGTAGTCCAGTCCTGTAACATCATCTTGCATTTGGCGGGAGCGAATCGCATGCCAAACATTCGTAGATTGCTGGTCAAGGTGTTTAGAAGACTCTGCATTTCGTCAGCGTCTTCGCCTAGAAGGACTATATCGTCTGCATATTCCAAGTCAACGAGATTATTCCCGGTAGCAAGTCAATCCCTGAATCGCTGAAGTCACCTAGGGTTAAGTCCATTAACACATCTATGATGAAGTTGAATAGAAAAGGAGATAATGGGCATCCTTGACGGACACCACTGGTCGTCATCAGTTCAGATGACAGCTCGCCGTAAGCCCTCACCTGGCTGTATGAGTACGAATAGAGTGCCTTAATCAGTGCAATATATTTTCTTGGAATTCCCTTTACAGCCAAGCATCTCCAGAGAACTTCCCGATCGACAGAGTCGAATGCTGCCTTTAGGTCAAGAAATATAATGACTGTTGGACGCCGGTAGGAATGCCTATGTTCTAGAATCTGTCGGAGGGTGAAGATATGATCAATACACCCTCTTCCTGGTCTAAAGCCTGCCTGGCTCTCTCGTGTTTGTGCTTCCCGAGCACCACTCAGTCTACGCATGATTATTGAGCCTAAGACTTTAGATACTATATTAGTCAAGCTAATCCCTCTGTGATTATCACAGGAAGACTTGTCTCCCTTCTTGTATATGGGGATAATCAGTGACTTACACCAACCCGATGGGACTTCTTCTGATTCCCAGACGCTGCCTAGTACCTCAGTTAATCCGGACAGTAAGCTGTCTCCACCGTACTTAAATACCTCTGGAGTCATTCCATCAGGTCCCGCTGCTTTGCCTAGTTTCAGATTGGTGACAGCTTTAGTAACCTCAGTTAGTGACGGAGGACCTGTGTCTATATCCCATTCAGGGAGGTGTTGGATGCTCGGAAGGTTGAGCGTGGCTGTGGGCAAATTAAACTGCTCCTCATAATGCTCTTTCCAACGATCCAGTCGTCTATCCTGTGAGCTAATTATAGTGCCATTTTTTTCCGAGATTGTCTCACTAATGATTTGTCTTCTCCCACCCGTTTCCCTGATGAGTCCAAAGAGTTGCCTGGTGTTGCCTATCCTCAAAGCTTTCTCCATCTCTTTGGCTTTTGTCGCCCACCACTGTTCACGGTCCTTGCGGAGACTTTTCGTAAGTTTCCTCTTGTGCAGCTTTCGCTCCTCATTGAATTCGGAGCTCGCCGGAATAAGTCTTCTAGCATCTATCAGTTCGGATGAGGCGGTGGAGATCCAGTGGTTTTTACTCACCTTTGGGTTTACCTTATTCACAGCTTTTACAGCTGTATCTATGGCTGCCTGGATATTTTTCCAAGCTTCTTCAGGGTGAGCACAGCTGTCGAACACAGATATGTGTTTAGCTAGTTCTTCCTGAAATACGGATTTAGTTTCCTGATCGAGCTGGGGACGTGATGGTTTTACCGCCAGCTGTTTCCTACGTCCGTTCAGTCGTAAGCACACCCGAGCGCGGACCAGTGCATGGTCGGTATCTACGCACGTGTTCCAGAAGGAGCGACAATCTCCTACCGACCCACGCCAACGATAGCTTATTGCTATGTGGTCTATTTGTGTCCAGCGTTGGTTTGATGAAGGGGGTCTCCAAGTCAAACAGTGTCTCTCCTTGTGTTTGAAGTTAGTGCTTACAAGAAACAAATGATTATCAGAGCAGAACTGTAGGAGACGGTCACCGTTGTCGGTTCGCTGGCACGGAACTCCATAGGTGCCACCGACATCCTTCTCAGATTGACACAATTTCCCTACTTGAGCGTTAAAGTCACCAGCTAGAACGACTATGTCTGAGCGTTTAGCCTTTCTCACCAAACTAGACAGCTTTTGGTAGAACTCATCCTTCGTTTCATCTGAACTGCAGTCAGTGGGGGCGTAGGCGGAGATTACGAAAAGGCATCGGCGAGTAGTGCAGTCCTTCCTCCTTCTTACTGATCCGTTCAGGCGGACAGCACACATTCGGCTATCTACCGGGATCCAGTCAAGCAATGTCTTTTCTGCCCTAGTACTCAAAGCTATCCCTACGCCAGCTAATCCTCGTGAACTAGCTGTGGCATCTCCTGACACCCTCAAGGTGAATTTTGCAGATTCAACCTGTTGGCCAGGTGGGGTTAGGTGAATAACCACACTTGGGTCTTGTATGCGTGTTTCTGAAACACAGCATACATCAATGGCTCGTGATGCCAGGGTCTTGGCTAGTGATGCTTGTTGTCCTATTTGGCAAAGTGTCCTAACATTAAGAGCTCCTATATGAAATTGGTGGCGCGGCTTTAAGAGGCTGTCGGTGGTGGTTTTTTGGCTTCCATCGTTTTTAGTGGACGCAGAGTGGAGAGGAAGTGGAGAGCTATCAAGTCGAGGAGTTGCATCAGTGGAAGGAAGGCAAGATGATAGAGATGAAGATGAAGACAAAGATGAGTGAGTAATAGAGAGGTTTCGTGTGCATTTCGGATTGTGAGGGCGATTGTTACTTCCCGGCTGCCCACACCGTGGAAGTTGGTTGCGTGACCGCAGAGCCCAGGGGACAACTGCTTGAGGCCGGTCACACGCGGCCTGTTTTTGTTTGTTCTTTTTGTTTGGTGTGTCTCAGTAGCAGATTTATCACTCCCGCCCTGTGACACGGCAGCAGGAAGCGCGGTCGTTGTTAATCCGGGCCACGGCCGATCCGGCATGAAATTTTGTAATTTTGTATTGGACATGATGTTGGATTGGGTAGCTGCTTTTTGTTTAACCGCTATCCAAACAACCTGCCTGGCATGGTAGAACCTCAAGAGACATAAGTCTCAGCCAGTATAGCTTGATTAGGTCATTGCGGTGTTCAAGCCCGACCACCACGTCAAGGTAGCAGCTTTCGGTCGGGACTGTACTCAGAATGGAACACGTCATCGTGCCAGTTGAAGAAATCAGAATTCGTGTGAATAACTTCCGACCAGCTGTATTTCAAAGTGTGATAATATGTTTAAATTACTGGTGTGAATATTACGTGTGCACATCTTACAGCTTCAGGAGGTGTATGTTAAAGCTCTTTTCGTCTTTGTCGAGTCTATGAACAGTTGTCATGGTAATTCATTATAGACTATACGTTTCAGAGATGTTCACTTTTCCATTGTCACTTTCTTCCATCGATCTCATGGGATTGTGCACGCTATTTCTTGTATTTATTGCTCACTTCGTTGCTATACCACTCGTGACGTCATAGATAATATGTCAGTGTCAAACAAAGCCATCGCAAAAAAAAGAATCGATCTACCGAGTAAAGGTATGCAGAATATGTAGACATGAAAATAGAAGATATGTGTTCTCTCTCTCTCTCTTTCTCAGGCACACATAAATGCATCCTGGGAGTATTTCTCGCCAAACTTTTTCTCCACATAGCTCAAATTCTGAAATTTCTAATCGTTGACTGACATGTATGTATGTAGTTACAAGACTAGTAAACATAAAATGTCTGCAAATTGGCTGAATAAGTAATGTGAAAACAGCACTCCCCCCTATCGAATGACATCGGTTTTTTGTATCAATATTAGTAATGTGGTAAATTTTTCGCTCGTGTTTCTTATCTGCTGTTTTGCCATTTTGTCAGTAGTATATTTCCCTTCTGTCTTTACTTACACAAATTAAGGTTGGTGATCTTATTCACTTGGAGAAAAATCAACGTGTACCAGCTGATATGATTTTATTATGGACATCAGATCGTAATGGTTCTTGTTTTATACGTACTGATCAGTTGGATGGTGAGACTGATTGGAAACTGCGTTATGCTATTCCAACTACACACGCCTACATCAATCGTTTAGGTCATCCAAGTTCACTGTGGGATATGGAGGTAAGTGTGTAGATGGTGTAGTTTTGAGCTTCTTTTATTGAAAAAATTTTCACTTGATTCAAACTCGAAATGTAACGACAAAAGGCAAGAGTCAGACAAAAGATCGTTTAATAAGGAAACCAACACATATTTATAGATTTTCATGTACATATTATAGATTATTGTTAGCAGGAAAACACAGTCCTCTGATTGGTTGTTTCTCACAGAAAGTTAATCTTTCATCTCTTTGTGGCTGTTTCTTAAGTGTCAGATCATCTATGTGCTAACTGTATCCGCCTGCGCAAAGTCTTTGTTCTCATTTTTCTCGCGACCAATATTGGGGACATAAATAATGACGTAAATTACTGTCTACCAACTTTGGCTAACAGCGGTCTCTCACCGCAGAGATAACCGTGAGACTAATTCACACCAGAAACAAGTAATAATTCAATAATGATAACAATAAAAGATGCTCTAGATACAGAACTCCTCCCGGAACAAACTGGATTAGAAAACAGGAAATCATGTGTTGATCAAATTCCTACACTACCCATCATAATCGAACAGAACATAGAATGAGAGTCAAATCTCTGCTTCAACTTCATCGATTATGAAACGGCCTTCGATAGCGTTAACTTCAAGGTCATTTGAAGAAGACTGCTCAAATACTATTGGGATCGCAGTGCCCCAAGTTTTTATCAGTCTCATTCAACAGCTATATGACATTGCCATACGTCAAGTGGTCCACAACGAGAAACTCTTGGTGAAGCCTTTGAAGTGAAGACATGAGTAAGACAAGGCTGTCTACTATCACCGATGATATTCCTGATTATGGTAGACTGAATTATGTGGGAGACTGTGAGGAGCGAGGAGACAGGAATATGTTAGACGGATAACAAGACTCTAGAAGATTTAGACTTTGTGAGTGATTTATGTCCACTGTCACATGAACTCGAAGACTTATAGGCGGAAAATGACAAGTTGACAGAAGAGCAAGGCAGAGAGGACAGGACTTCAAGTGAACCTAGAAAAGACAGAAGTGATGAAGATGCCCAACAACAGCAACAACAATCACCAATCACCATCAGTGGGAGTAATTTCAAAGTAGTTACATCTGTCATCTACCTAGGAAGCATAATTCTAAATGCAGGTGGCGTGAATGCAAATGTCAAAGGCAGTTGGGATTGGAAAGGCAACACAGAACTTCATTACTCTGAAGTCAGTGTAGTAATCTTCTGCAACCAGCATAAAGAATAAGGCTGATTTCCAATATTATTCTACATAGTTCAGAGACTTGGCAAACTTGTGGCGAAAACCATTTCCGATAGGTTATTGCGGAATTCCATCAGCAGCAGCTGCCTTTGCTCCATACTGAACATTAGAAAGGATTAGCAGTAGGGAAACTCCGTCAACGAACTAACGAAGAACCTGTTGTACAAAAATATGCTGAAGAAAATGGGGATGGATTGGGCATACATTGGCGAGACCGTTGAGGGACACCACGTGCTAGCCCCTCGAGTGGAGCGAGAATGGGAAACGATGATTTAGTTTGGGGTTCGAGGGTGACATGGAGGCTATATTATGAGGAGGAGAAAGTGAGGGCTTGAGGGCAATCATGGGGTCAGCAAAGGAGGACTGCAGAGAACAGGATGAAATGGAGATGTTCTGTTGAAGCCTTATGTTCTCCTTAGAATGTAAGAGAACAGTTATTATTACTATTATTATTCCCTTGGGTTCCAAGTGGAACATAGGGCTTCACCAACACATCTCCATTTTATTCTATTTTCTGTCGTCTTCTTCAGCTGGGTCCGCAATTTCCCATAATCTCTCAAATCTCCTCCTCGCCACACGATCTCCTGAATTTCACCCTAGGACGATCCACTCTTCGCTTCCCATTTGGATTTCACTCGAGCGATGTCATTAGATGGTTTCCTCAATGTATGCCCGGACCATCTCCAATTTCTCCTACATATTTGTGGAGCAATCGGCTGTTGGTTGGTTTGTTCCCACAGTTTCTTGTAACTAATTCTTTCTGGTCGGCCATTTGATTTTCAGTATGGAGTCAGCGAAGGTGGCAGCTGTTGATGGAAGTCTGCAATGGCCTGTTAGAAATGCTTTCCATGGCACGCAGTGCAAGTTTCTGATCTGTGTTGAAAATCTGGATTTTGTTCCTTATGCTCTGCTAAGGTAGAGTTCAGAAGATTTCCAAACTGGTTTCAATTTGATGAAGGCATATCTTGCCTTTCCGATTCTCGATGGGTGGCTTTCACATCTTCATCCGTGCTGCATGCCTGTAGTTGAAACCATGCTTCCTAGCCAGATAAATGAAGGAGGTAACCTCTGTTAAATCTCTCCCGTTGATGGGGATTGGTACTAATTGTTGTTGCTGTTGCTGTTGGCGGTAGTTGGTTATCTTGGTCACCTCCGTCTTCTCTATGCTCAGCTGGAGTCCTGTCTTCATTGCTTCTTCAGCCAATTTGCTGCTTTTTGTGTGTATGTTTTCTTCGAGTTTACGTGACGTTGGGCATAAATCACTCACAAAGTCCAAATCTTCTGAAGTCTTGTTTTCGGTCCAACACACTCCCGTCTTCTCACTCCCTGTATACAGTCTCCCACATAATTCAGTTCACCATAATTAGGAATATCATCGGTGATAGTAGACAAGCAGTCTTATCTTACCCCTGTCTTCACTTCAAATGCTTCACTGAGAGTTTTCCGATGTGGATCACTTGGCATATGGCATTATCATATAGCCAACCAGCCAGCCAGCCAGCCGTTGAATGAGATTGATAAAGACTTGGGTCTCTGCACGCCACAGTACTGAAGTAGTTTTCAAATTACTTCGCGGTCGAAGGCCTTTTAAAGTCGATGGAGTTAAGGTACAGGTTTGAATGCCATTCAACAGAACATTAATGCCATTGATAACATTAATTATGATGTTGAATAATTAATGATTGTTTCGGTCTTGTTGGTAGATTTTAAACGTCAATGTGTATTCATCCCATTATGGAATGCTATTTGAAATCATGTGTGTGTGTTTGTGTGTGTGTGCGTATGAAAAGTTTATGCGTTCTAGGTTGAATCAATTTATCATAAACATATTTTAATGGTTGGTTACATACTCACACACGCACTCACACACACACACACACACACAATGATAAGGCTTTTTGATTTCGATAACACTTTGTTGCGGAATTATACTGTCCCCCACTATCAGTGACACCAGTAGTTAGAATTGTTTATGCTTTTATCTTATTTGTAAACAATGCCTACTATTTGTGTAATCACTGACGGTAATTTTGCTAGAAATACTACTAAAATAAGAAAGAAAACTTGTCATTGTGTGTTTAAACAACCCCATGTATGTTAGTTATAGTAAATTGCCTTTTAGAATTATTCGAATAGGGAATGGATCTCGGAGAGGATTGTTTATGTTATTTCCATTGCTGTGGTCTTTTTCATTTAAAGTAATTAGAAATTTACAAATAACATTTACTAACTCTGATATTCTCCTAGTGCTACTATTTCCCCTCCCTTCCTTTACGATTCCCTCCAGAGGTTATTACTTGTATCTATTATTGATTGATTACATAACAGTCATGAAGTTGTTTTATCCATAACTGGAGGCGATATTATCACTGTCAATAGTCAGCAAATGATGAGATGCGAATACTGTCGACAATTGAAATTGAACCCATTAGTTTGAGGCTTAAGGTTGCTTATGCTAGGGTTGTTTGAATCGGTGGTGGGATGCTAGCCAGCCATGCACACTTTGGTCTGGGCTGAGTTCAATTCCTGGCCGGTGCGATCCTATAGCTCATTTAGCCGGTAGTAAGCCCGGTAAGGAAGGAGGGTTGGGCGTGAAGCAGGTAACTCCACCGTGTAAGAAATAATAGCCTCTACTGAAACTTCAATATTCAAGCGCGAAGCCGTACTTTCCACTAGGAACGCAAAGAAATGCTGAGAGATGATGGGCCAGAAGTAAAGTTGCTTAACTGAATAAACTCTTTGTCTGTATTTCTCTCTCTCTACAACCACTTACACTAATTTGGTGTTTGCAATTAACCATACCCGTAGTGTAAAGGCTAACAGTAGTACTTACTTGGCTGATAGTTGAGCACTTGTACTGCAAATGAGCCAAATCTCCTCAGATTTCTTGCATCCAGTGGCAACACCATATCAGTAGTTCTGTGATCATGTGTCAAGGGGTTGTGAACATCTTTCATTAATTGGTCCTATGATAATAACTTGCTTCTATGCTTTGAGCATTTGTTACGGGTGTCCGGCAAGGGGCTTCAATACTACTTATTGTTTGCCAGTCCTGAGGCTGGTTGGTGGGATATATGTAAGTGTAATCAATCCTTGACGTCTAAGTTGGGTGTGGTGAGCTGTTGTTAGTAATTATCATGTGTCCCAAACTAGGATGAAACAACCATTCTGTACTCCTCAGTCTGCTTGTGGTTCTCTAAATGATGCCAGCTAGTGGGCGAACCGGAGTGATGATGATGCATCATAACTCACCGGTGGGAAACAGCGAGATCATGTGACGTTATCAGATTTGATTCAGAATAAAAAATCAGTGTGAATTGTGCTTCAGATTCTCTTGTTCCGTCTATCATCAAAAGAAACACTAAGTAATGGACATTTTCATTACTGTACTTGACAAAAATGCAGCGTCAGACTCGTGTCCCACTCATGAGTATTATTAGTAATATAGTAATATCATAATAACTGTTGATATGTTTTTAAAAGACAGCCTCTTTATAAAGTATCTACAGTGCTGACTAACCACTGCACTTCTTGATATATACTACATAGTGTGTGTGTGTGTGTGTGATTGTTTCTGTAAATTCTATCACATTGTGTATATGCAATTTTACAGTTCAGTATACTGTATGTAGTTCGATGTTACATGTTCATACGATAATTAGATAATTTATCCTTTTCCATAAAACTTCTATCATAGTCTTTATAAGATTTGTTGGAGGATTTCATCATGAGCTGACATCAGTTAGAGAACCATTGGAAACCCTGCAGGGAGTACTGGACAACTGTTTCGTCCTAGTTTGGGACTCTTCAGTAGTGAAGAGGCTGTTTTAATGAAGAATGAGTTTAAATTCATCCATTTCTGGGAGGGGGATACACTTAAATCATTCATGTCATCAGTAAAGTGATCTTAGAGACACACAGGTGATACACTACTATTAATGAAGAAGAATGATATGACGAAACTCTTCCCACATATATAAACAATCATGTAGACTTAACTACTTATGTTAGACTCGCCGTAAAAAAATACAAAGAACGACAGATGAAAGCATGAAAACGATGGTTTTATAGGAGAACAAAGCACTGGGGGGATTTCTTGATTATCATTCAGCCCATCTCCTCACGGCAAAAAGAGGGTTGTTAATGACAGAAGAATATACCTAGGCTAACAAAAATGCCAAATGACCAATGAAAAACTAACAAACAAGTAAACATCTTACTCAGCATGCTACTAAAAACCACTCACCAGAAGAATTCATCAAAGACAATGATAGTGTATTTTTTACAATACCTTTACGTTCCCAGTGGAACATAGGGCGCCTTCAAGCTAGAGCTTTGAAGTTTCGGTAGCAGTGGTGTTAATTTTTACACCCTTAGCTAGGTAAAGGAGTGCATCGGCTGGGGATCGAACTCCGGACCACCCCCGTCGTTGGTGAGCATTCTACCTCTGCGCCACCGACGACGGCGTCAGTATAACTAAGGAAATGAGATCAGGAACCGATAAGAAAAGTGATTACGAAAAGCCTGTAAAACTGTCTTGCAGGAAAGATACATCAGAGGTGTAGAAAATTCAAAGCAAACTCAGAAAAGCAGATATTTCAACTATGTCTAGGCCAATGCATTTAATTTTAGCAACAAATTAAATCAAATTAAAAGATCCAATTAGAAAAAATTAGGCAAAATAAATACATAATGTAATCTATAAAATATCTTGTCCTGAAGGCCTGATTAACTATGTGGGTCATTACCTTGACATACTCGTGCTTGTGATCAATAAAATCCTCAATTTTGCTTATTAATTCGCTATTTGTAATTCACGCAGTCCGAAAGGGTAAAATTCCACCAAAAATTTCTTTATGAACCGAAATTATTTAGATTTCAGTATGTGTGATAATCTGCCTGATACCATATATGGTAATCAAGAAAGCAAGCATATTTGCATTAAAACTTTACATATTACTGATTAATTAGCAGTGAGTAGTTGTATACTACCCACATTAACCAGTAGGACTTGTCGACCAGCCATATTATATTATTATTATTGTTCCCTTGGGTTCCTAGTGGAACATAGGGCTTCAACTGCACGTCTCCACTTGTTTCTGTCTTCTGCTGTGCTTTTCACCTGCATCCATGTCAGTCCATACTGTTTCAACTCCTCTTCACACGATCTCCTCCATGTCACCCTTGCACCGACGTCCCACTCGCCGCTTCCCATTCTGTCAGGTTCCACTCGAGCAATAGCCTGACGCGCGATGTCACTCAGTGGCCTCTAGCCTCGGTGAGTGTCCAATCCACCTCCACTTTCTCCTGCATATTTGTTGGCTGGCGATTGGTTCTTGTTTTGTTTGTTCCCATATTTTCTTGTTGGTGAATAGTTCCAACCATATTGAAGTGATTTAAATACCGGACTACCGTTTCGCACGTCTTAGGGTAGGGCTCATCAGCTGCGCACTTGGTTTGACTCCTCTCAGAGCGTCGAATCACAGTTCAATTAATTCACATATATCATTGCTTAATAGCCTATATTGTTTAATTTCTATTTACACTTTAGGCTCAAGTGTACGCTGAAGCTCCTAGACAAAATATACACAATTTCGAGGGGACATTTGTTCGTACAGATGTAACGCTTACAACTCCAACTGATTCAGAAGCTGCAGAAGTTTCGCTGAATATCGATCATACTCTTTGGTCGAATACTGTTCTAGCTACAGGAAGCGCTGTTGGTCTGGTGATATACACAGGATCAGAGACACGTGCAGTAATGAATTCAAGTAGAGTACGTACAAAACGTGGAAAAATCGATCAAGAAATCAATAATATCACTAAACTTCTCTTCTGTATTCTAGTTCTCCTCGCCTTAGTTATGGTTGCATTGAAAGGTTTCACTGGTTCATGGTATAAATATTGGTGGCGATTTATTGTTCTCTTTTCATATATTATTCCTTTGGCGTAAGTATGTTGTCATTTTATCCTGTAAAAGAAATGTTTATTAACTATACGAATTTTTCAAAATCACCTTTTTTATTGATCTACTTTTCTCACATACTGAGAAAAAAAAATCGATTGACAATGCGTAGATTGTATCAAATTTTGATGCTTAAATTCTAATAGGTAGACTATGGATAGAGTGTATACTGTTTCTTGAGATTATTTTTACTCCATTATCTCAAAAAATATTACGATTACTCCCTTGGAACACAGGGCTTCATCTCCACTCCAACCTATTCTCTACGATGCTCTCTAACTGGCTCAACGGCTACCGATGAGCTTTCATCTCCGCAACACACGATCTCTTATATATCATCCTCGGACTCCAACCCAACTCTTCGTTTCCCATTCAGGTTCTGCTTGATGGCCTGCTTGTCACGTGATGTCACTCAGTGGCCTCTTCATCATGTGTCCAGTCGATATCCAACCTCTTCTGAATGTTTGTTGGGCGATACACTGTTGGTTGGTTCGTCCCCAGAGTTCCTTGTTGCTAATGTTTTCTGGCCATCCTCATCCACGCCGCCCGTAGTTGAAACTCTGCTGCCTACATAAATGAAGGAAGCTACCGCTTTCAAATTTATTCTGCTGGTGGTGACTGGTGCTAATCTAGTTGTCGTTGGTTGGCTATCTTCATCACTTCTTTCTTTTCTGTGTTCACTTGAAGTCCTGTCCTCGCTGCCTTGCTCTTCTGTCAACTTGTCGGTTTTACGCCTATAAGTCTTCGAGTTTACGTGATATTGGACATAAATCACTCACAAAGTCCAAATCTTGTAAAGTCTTGTTATCTGTCCAACATATCCCAGTCTTCTCACTCTGTCAGCAGCGTCTGTCGCATAATCTAGTTCACCACAATTAGAAATGTCATCGGTGATAGTGGGCAACCTTGTCTTACTCCTGTTTTCACTTCAAAAGATTTGGTGAGAGTTTTCCGTTGTGGACAACTTAACGTGTGTCGTCATCACCACAGAGGTGATGAATGCGGTTGATAAAGGTAAGGACCACTTCACAGTGTTGAAATGGTTTCCAAGTTAAAAGTTTTTTCAAAGTCAATAAAATCAAGGTTGAAATTTGACTCCAGTTCTATTCTAAGTCCGATTATAATGTATAGTGCTGCATTTTGATTCGGGCCTGATTTCTTGTTTCTGAATCCAATTTTTTTTAGGCAGAATTCTGCATCCAATGCATCTTTTAATCTCTCTAGGATGACACGATTTAATGTTTCCTTTGGCGTGGACAGCAGCATAATTCCGCGCTAGTTTTTGCAAAGACTTAAGTCGCTTTTTTGGTAATTTGACAAGGTAACCTTTCTTCCAGTGCGTCGGTAGCGCAGCGGTAGGACGCTCGCCAATCACGCATGTGGTCTGGGGTTCGATCCCCGACCGACACACTGCTTTACCTCGCTAAGCTTTAATAAGACTGGTAAAGAGGGAAGGTTGGGCATGAGGTTACCGACCCCATCCTGTAAAAATAAACACCACTACTACTAAAACTCCAAGCCTCTAGCTTCTTGAAGGCACCCTATGTTCCACTGGGAATGTAAAGGGGAGTAAAAAAAAACCTATCTTCCAATCAGTAGGAGGTAGGTTTCCATCCTTGCAAACTTTCCGTTATAGTGGCGTGAGCATGTCTACTAAGGACTCTGGGTCCGTCTTCAGTGCTTCCGGAGGAGCTGTGATCTCTTACTGCAGGGCACTAATGGTTGTAATGAAGAGTTAGCTGTTGTGAAATCGATCAATCTCTATTCAGTGTTCATCTATGAGTTGTCGTGTTAGAAAGGAAGAAGAAGTGCTGGATTCAGCGACGAATCTCTTTCTAGAAGTTTCAATAACATAGTAGCTGAACTGAATTTTCAGTGTAGCAGTTCAGCTTGTCAACTTTCTAAAAGCACACATAAAGATGGAGAACAAATGTAGATACAAATAAACTATAATAAACAAAAATGTACCGGTGGAGAGGATAATGGGAGTCCATAAAGTGTGAGTACATCTGCGGCATTGAAAACGATTTTGAGCTGTATCACTAACAGTACCAAGTGAATTCGTCCGTTGTGTCCCGAAGACCCCCAGACAGACAGTCTACACATCCCTACGGGATTGACTCAGACCAACAAACAAACACTTCGTGAATTGATGTCATGCTTTGGTGGTTTGACCACCTCTAACTGTTTTCCAACCAATCCTATATCAGCTGTCACGATTGGACGAGGATGGCGCTAGCACAATATGCGTAACACGTGTCTTTGTCGATGCACTAATCGCATGTATCAAAGTTCAGTACTTAGCAACACTATTTTTTCGTTAATATTTGTTTTAAGTCTGATCACGAATTGATTTCATTTAGAGAAGCATTGAAAACCGACAGGGAGTACTAGACAGCTGTTTCTTCCTAGTTTGGGACTTGTCGGCAGTACGCACCCTCCGGGATTCGTACTCAGGACCTTCAAGTTACAAGTGTGTAGACCATTTAACGACAAGGACCCAACTCAATAGCCTATGAAATCTGACTGCTACCAATCCGCGTAACATATAGCCCAACGGCCATTCAATATCATAGGCGAGTAACTGTAGCCAATCAAATCTCTGCAAACAAAAACTTGACAATTAATCTGATGCACACTGGCGACTGACTGTATGCAGGAATTTTCCTAGAGTTCTAGTGAGAATTTGTAACCGGCGGGGTCCGTGGAGTCAGATAAGAGGACATTTACTCACTTATGACATTATCTGGCGGTTGCTATATATATCGTGTATTGACGAAAGCTGAAATTCTTGGGTATTGAGTAGTTGGGCCACAATGGATGAATGGTCTACGAGTTAGCTTCGTAGTCGGAAGGACCCTGGATTCGAATCCCCTTGGGTGTATGACGTTGAAGAGTTGCAAACTGGGGCTGAAACAGTCAGCTGTCCATTACTCCCAGGTTTTACAAATGGTTCTCTAACTGATGTTATCTCGTGACCAAGCTAGAATTTTGTTACTATAATTATGTGTTTATTTGTTTGATATATTACGTCTAATTTACCAACATTATATTTATTTTAATTTGTACAGATTACGTGTCAACATGGATTTAGCAAAAATTGTTTACTCTTTTATGATTATGCGTGATAGAGCTTTACCAAATTGTCTTGTACGTAATACTAATATACCTGAAGAGCTGGGACGTATTTGTTATTTAATGTCAGATAAAACTGGTACACTAACACAGAATGAAATGGTTTTTAAGAAATTACACTTAGGCAGTGTAGCCTTTGCACCAGATTCTATGGAGGAGGTTGTACAAGGTTTACGTAGTCATTTTACTACTGGTGCTGGGGTTTCATCGTCAACAGTTCGACGTACAACTAATGAACGTATGGCTGATGCTGTATTAGCTATAGCTATATGTCATAATGTTACACCAATGAATGAGAATTATTCACCTCCAGGTGGAATAGATATAACAGATGGAGATAAAGGAGCTATGGAAATGGTAAGTATTCATTTGTCTTCTTTCTTTTAATGTTTTATTGATGAAAGTTAGGTGCTTATTTTTTAATTGTGTTCACCCGCTTAGTCTGATATCACTCCTTCCCCCAAACATGTGCAGATTATACTCTTCTGTTAAGGAAATACCTTTCTCTTGTAACTTTCTGGCTGTAATACTTGTTGATTTAGATTCAGAGATTCCTGTTGTCTAATTTGTTTCCTTTTGAAAGCTGCAGAATTTGTTAGATGGTTGAAAGGCAGTTGTCAGGAAGCCTTGCCCGGCCTAGGTTCCATACTTGTTGGCACCCATCAGTCATCAAGACCTATCTGCGAACTTAAAGCAACTCATGTTCCCTCTGGGATTAACACATTGGTCACCTCAGTAATGCAGCCAGAGGGCGTTACTTCTGAGCTATTCGGGCCTGTGATTGACCTCCTGTAGGACTACAATGTATACTTTGATTAGACACTGGGCAGTAACCAATGTCATGCGTCGTCTAGTCTCATTGGTTTGGAGCAGATTGAATTCTATTTCACAGATTCTCATCAGCTGCTGAAAACTACCTGGAATCACGATGGTGGCACAGTGGTTAGGACTCTCGCCGATCATGCACATGGTCCGGGGTTCGAGCCCACGCCGACGCACCCTTGATATCTATGGTCGGCCTGCAAATTTTGGCTACCGATATCCACGCTGAAAATCCCATACATGTACCGAAAATACGGTGTGGAATCAAGCTGTAATCAAAAATAAAAAAATAAAAAGATGGTTATAAATAATAACCTTTTATATTTCAGTGTTTGAAATTTAATTGGTGGATGGTGACTAGCAGTTAAATCCAGGATGCGCATTTCGTCTTATTTGGGACTTGTCAGATGTCTGTCTGTCTGTCTGTTTTCGACATAGAACTTTGCACAAATGTGCGGAAGTTCAAGTCGCCACACTCCATGTAGCACATGAAGCAAGAGAGGAAAGTAGAAGAAATGCATAATAGAGACGGTAAGCAGAGGTGTGAGACAAAGGAGGAGTAATAACGAAGAACAAAACAGTTTCATTGGAAATCATAAGTCACAAGGAGTGGATGCATCTGCGTTTGTCACTGAGAACGATTTTGAGCCATGTCACCAATTGTTTCCAACCATTGATTTTTACCGTCCCGAGGACCCTAAGCAGTCAGGAAGTCTACACCTTCCTACGTGCCTTAGACTAGCTGTTGTAGATTTCATTGACTGGTGAAGCCATGTTTTGGTTTGACCTCCACCACCACTGAATCTTTTCCAGCCTGACCCTATATCCGCTAACATTGCTTGTCGAAGAAGGCGATGACTAGGCATACGTAACACATGTCCTAAACATCTCAGTCTTTGTAACTTCACAACCTCGTCGATTGATTTCCCCTGTTTACCTAGAACTCTACGCCTAACCTCAATATTGCTCACCTTATTATACCACTTCACACGGGGGGTAGAACGCAGGCACCTATGATCAAAGACAGCTAATCTTTTCATGTCTTCCACTCTCAATGGCCAGGTCTCACAGCCAGCCAGCCACAAAGGAGAACGGAGTGGACTGATGAGCAGTACACCCACCCTTTGATCGATAGTCGAATATCTTGTCTACGCCAGAGTCGGCGTAAACTGGCAAATGCGAAACGAGCCCCCTGTATCCGTGCTGAGATTTCATCAGAGATCAACCCGTTGACGCTGGCTGATGGTACTTCCCAAGTAAGTGAAGCGGTCAGCGTGCTCTACCACTTCACTTCCTATTTTTAAACTTGGCTGGATGTACCTGCATTTCTCAGTGAGTGATGGTTTTCCCACCGACGCTCGAACCCAGTGCCCATAGTTTCAAACACCCTCTTTTTGCATAAGTTTGGTCTGAGACTGTAGTCAATCTCTCACTCCCTTAGTAACCGTATTACATTCATTACGCTGATTAGTCATGCACACTAGTGAGCTCAGCTCACTAAGCAAGTTTTCAGTTTGATGAACTTTAACCTTCTCTAGTTGCCATGTTGATGTACAAGCTAACACTGTTTATTAGATTTTTCTGTTTTCTGTCTTTTCTCACCCCCCTTTCTTTTCATAGTTTGATAGTATATAAATTGGTGGTAACTTAAACTAAAGCTAATTGTAATACTTATATTCCGGATGCTTTCATCTTATAATGTTTTTTCTATTACTTTGCAAACATTGAAGTATGAAATGTCATTATTTATAACTATTGTAATTCCAGGTAGTTTGCAGCAGCTGATGAGAACCTATGAAATAGAATGATATCATTTTACACCGCAAATCTGGTCTTTCTTTCTTTATCGAAATTTATCAAGGGAACCAAATGTATGAGATTGAACTCTCTTAGTCAGGTGTGCAGTATGTGCGGGCCCACCGTGCTAGATGGTTCATTGTCACAATGTTCCCTGAAATGTTGTTAGATGATTCGAGTCAATGGGCAGGAAGTCTAGGGCCTAGGTTTCGTGCTTGTTGGCACTCACCAGTCATCAAGGTGTATCTATAGTCTTGAAGGAACTCATGTCCGTTTTCAAATTGACAGACTTTGTTTTCTCTGAAGTTAATATTCAGTGCTTTACTATTTAGTTATATTCTTCTGAAGTGAGGTGATCTTATATCACAGCACAACGTGCTTAGAGTGTCAGACATATGGAAGGAATTGAGATCGCCATATATATAAGTATCATTCTGTCTCAAACTTGTCAGAAGGACTTGTTTACAATTTTGGTCAAGTTTCATACTCTATATCTTGAAATTTATGTAATCTTCCATCTCTGTACAATTGGGATGTTATTGCAGAGCTGTTCACAAGGATTATTGAAACAATTTACGCAATAATAGCTACATATTTTGAACCTAAGTTAGTGTATCTCATACCTTCATAGGGTCTATCTTAATGTTCGCTATTTTGATATACTCTCAACTGTGATGTTATTTATTATTTCCCTTATTTGATGACACCATTAGGTAGAACTTTCTGATCCAGTCGGCTATCAGGCTAGTTCACCAGATGAGATTGCACTTGTCTCATGGACAGCAACTGTTGGCGTAACACTTGTATTCCGTGATTTACACAGAATGCGTTTACGTCTTCCAAATGGTATGTTAATTTCTGTTTTTCTCTCCTCACTTTTCATTGATTATTCTCTAACTTTTCAAGTATTGGTTTTGTAGGGATTTTGTTTGATTGTTTTTTATTATTTTTTTTAATATAAGAATTTTTGTGTTTTGTTTTCATTGACGCACAATGTGTGTGTGTGTGCATGTGTGGATTCCTAATTAAAACTGCCTCCCCTAACCCCAAACTCATTATTCTCTAATGGTACACTAAGCCAATAAATTTTGAAGAAAAGAACAAGAAACTCAAAAAGATAAATTATCTTTTCGGTGATTTCATTCTCAAAAGCAGCTATACAATCGCATTTTTATACATGTGTTCACATGGTTACAATTACTATTTAAATTGGACATACTAATGAACGGCGGTAGGGGTGGAGTTAAAGGAGACAGTAATTTTCAACTTGAAATGAAAGTTTGAAGGTGTGAATATAGTGATTACAAGAGAATTGGAAACAAAATTACACAGGATTTAAAAAGTAGACGCGAAATATGTAAAATGGTGTTCAACAAAGACAAATGTGAACGGAATTCAAATTGAAATTGTTATGTACTGCTGCTGAGTGAGTTATTAGAGTTTTCCCCGTCGCCAATTATGTTATGTACTCGTCGAGTAGTTAATAGTCTGACGCGGATAGAGGGAAATCAGAAGACCACCAGGTTTACGATGATACTTGTATTTTCCAGACAAGGAAAATAAATGTCACACAAGAGTGTGAGTGGAGGGGTACTTAAATGTACGAAAACATGTGAAACAAGAATTATACAAGGGTCTAATACAGAAGTATATATGAAAATGGCTAATACACATGAACCAATAAAATAACGTCTTACCATGATTGGTTGTAATGTCATGTGATAATAAGGTCATACATTGTTTATTTAGTTAGTGGACAGACAAAGGCATATTGTCGGTTTAATGGAATATCGATCCATATACACAAGCAAAATATAATAGACTGTCAAAAACAAAACACACATCATGTGGGTACATATCAGAAATAATAGTTTTTATGACTGAAAATGGAAAGAAATTGAAGGGAATGAGGAAAATGAAAGACAACTAAGGAGTCAAACAGAACTAGATCCATGGTGTAAATGTAGAGATTCGACTAGTTGCTTTAAACAATTAGTTCCAGCTTGTCAACGCATTTGGCAAGAGTTTCTGCAGGACAAAAGAAGTTGAAAACACGTTGCATTTGGTATATTTTTGTCCACTTTTTAAGTGTTGTGACAGGTAGTGACGAGTTGTTCATTTAGAGCGTTTCTGGTTGAACCAGTGCCACCTTTTTGCAACCATTTGTGAGTAGTATTCTTTAATACGTTTTTGAAAGGACCACATAAAACGACCTAGCTTCACAGGAGCTGGTGAATAGATGTTTACACATTGCAGTGGTGGTATGCGGGAGTTTGTTCTTCGAATAGTTTAGAAGCAGTGTTGTTGAAGAGAGGTATTTATTTTCAGGGAACTAGAGATTCTCCTCTTTAGGCAGGATATCTGTTGCTGATCCTCCCGGAAATCCAGGTTCATATACAGTATTTTCCTTGGTTTGGTACGGAACTGCTTTGGTTTCATATTTTACTCTAAAAACTGTTCCGGGTATCCACTTTCAACCAAGACCCTTCCGAGAAGTAAGACGTCTTCTAATCAGCCTATGTTGCAGATTCTTCTGATACCTCTGACACACACACAGAAAAGAAAGGGGACAAAGTTTAAAGACAAGGGTTCAAATAGAATGATGGATCCTTCAGAATAAAATACTCCTGTGATACTAGACAATTACAAATACTAATTCGTCACACTGTGTTGTGTCTCTCTTGTCAGTTATTTCTGTCCTCTAAGTGGGTGGGGATTTTCCACGTAAAAGGCATAAAAGCATTCTCGTATCATATACGCGAGACATCTTTCAAAATTACATTTGATATGATATATTTAATTTTCAACAATTCTACATTGTTCTTGATTGTTTATTTCTCTGTCTTATGAATAATTATTTTCCTCTTTTTTGTTTACCCTTCAGGCTCTATTGTCGAATATGAAATATTGAATTTATTCCCATTTTCATCGGAATCTAAACGTATGGGCATTATTGTTCGTGATTATTCTACAAAAGGATAATATTCTATGTGAAAGGCGCTGACACAGTTATGAGTAATCTCGTCTCCTATGTTGATTGGTTAGACGATGAAGCTGGTAATTTAGCTAGAGAAGGTTTACGCACACTGGTTGTCGCCTCGCGTGTTCTAACAGAGGAGCAATACAATGATTTTTCTAAACGGTAAATTATTTTTATCTATATATTTTGGGGTATAAATTTCCGACTGAAGACTGTCAGTGATGTCGATTATTGTTATTATTATTCTCTTGAGTTCTGAATGGAACGTGTTGAGGAGGAGGAGGAGGCTTCATCACTATTTCATCCTGTTTTCTGTAATCCTTTTTAGCTGTCTCCTCCTCCACACACTGTCCATCTCCTTCATATCACTTTGGATGCCCACCTCGTCATTTCCCATTTAGGTCTTACCCAAAGACTGCTTGCCATGTGGCGTCACTCAACGGTCTCCTCACAGAGTGTGTCCAGTCATCAATGTTGGTTGACTTTGTGCAAATTTTAGTTTGAATGTATGCGGAGTAATCAATACTTTTAACTGCAATTCTGCTTAATTGTTTCATGCCTCTTTCTTCAATTCTCAGGATCTATCAAATTTGTTCATCATTGTAATTCCGCGTAACATTACAATGTGTTTTGCTAGTGGATATGTAAAACTTGAGGTCTTGTGGTATTATAATGTAACTCCATGTTAGTTTTTGTTTATTGGAGAGATTAGGTAGTGGAATAGTTTTATTTACTTGGAACAACTTACCTTAGATTTGGTACTATTTAGTTGTTTTTTTTTCCCATCATCACTTAAACTTTTTCATTAATCCTACTTCCAGTGACATGGACTGGGATGAAACGACGTCCAAGTGACAACTTGAATGTGTGTGTGTGTGTTCCCTAACCTTAATTGACTTCAACAACGTGGTGACTTAGAATAGGCGGATAATACTATCCTCCTAGGTGAAGACGCTGATAAAATGCAAAGTCTTCTGAGTATCTTGAGAAGAAATCTTCGGATGTTTGGCATACCATTTGCTCTTGTTGAATGTAAGATGATGTTTTAAGACTTGACTATGTCGACTCCTAACTTAAAGATACGCAGGAGAGAAGTGGTAGGGCGTGTTGTCCACTGAGCCTATTTGGAAAGATGCATCAGACCCAGAGGGTTGATTGGTGATGAAGTCTCACCACGCATAGAAAAGGCTCATTTGGCATATGCCATGATATCCGGCTGGCTCTCGACCGAAGGGCGTATGTACTGCTCAACAGTTCTCTCCGTCCTCCATAAAGACTGTGAGACATGGTCATTGAAAGTGGAAGACATGAAAATGCTGACTAGCTGTCTTCCATCATAGGTGTCTGCTTTGTGTCTTATATGTTACGTGCTATGATAGAGAAGAGTAATATTCAGGTTAAGCGTCGAGTGTTAGGTAAGGAGGGAAAGTTAATCGAGGGAGTTGTGAAGCTGCATCGATAGAGGTGGCTGGGAAAAGTGTTACGCATCCCTAGCCATCGCCTTCTTCGACAATGAGCAATGTTAGCTGACATAGGATCAGGTTGGAAAGGAGTTAGCTAGTGGTGGTCAAACCAAAACATGCCATCAGTCCATAGAATCTTTGACATTCAGTCTGAGCCAGCCATGTAGGAAGGTGTAGAATTCCTGACTGACTGGTTGGGGTACTCGGGATGGTAAGAACTAATGGCTGGATACATACAGTTAGTGATATATCTCAGAATTGTTTTGAATGGTGAAGATGCATTCACTCTTTACGATCTGCGATATCCACTAAAACCCATTGTTTTTCCGTGTTATTATTCTTTCTCCCTCACAACAATGCTTAGTATTGTTGTTCTTTCGAATCTCCTTTCCTCTCTTGTGTTCTACATGGAGTGTGTGGCAAGTCGAACTGTTGCATTTCTATGCTGAAACAGGTCAGTCAATCAGAAGGTTTTCTGTTCCCCTGTGATATTGAGACTTAACCTGTGTGACAATAATCCTTTTGATTTCATTCATTGTATGTCGATTTCTTGGATACTTTTGTTGATGTGGTGAAAAATATGTGCTGCTGGAGAAGTTGCAATATGGTGGTAGTAGTAGTGTTACAACAGAAGACAAGGGTCAGGACACAGATCGTTTATTAAGGAAATCAACACATTTATAGATTTTCATGTACATTTTTTTAGATTATTGTTAGCAGATAAACACAGTCTTCTGATTGGTTGTTTCTCACTGAAAGTTAGCCTTCCATCTCTTTGTGGCTGTTTCTTGAATGTCAGATCATCTATGTGTATGTTAACTGTATCCGCGTACGCAATGTCTACCGTGATTGGTTGTCGAATCAGTCTTTGTTCTTATTTTTCTCACGACCAATATCAGGGAGGTAAACATTGACGTAAATTACTGTCTACTAATTTGGCTAACAGCCAGCTCTCACCTCAGTAATAGTGTTCCTAAGATAGAAAGAGTAACCTGAAATGGCAATATGTAATTTAAAATTGATTTTTAACCCATGGTGATCGTTTTATGCTGTATACATTTTTTTCTTCTTCATTATTCGACAATAATCACAGTATGGTTTTTCTATAACAATAATTTTTGTTTTTTATCTCACCTATTAATATACGCATATTTTACTGGCGAAGTTAACTTTCTAGACACATGATTTTACTATCCTCGACTGCCCCTCCCTCAGAGATTCCTCTGGTCTTTACGGATTTACGTCACTGTTCAATTGCAGTGCTTAAATATCACTTCATCATATCATGTTTGTTCTCTGTTCTATGAATAAAAAAAGTGATTTTTAATCGCATCTATGTTTCACATTACAACAGATAGTGTAAAAATGAAAAGACCGGTGAGGCTCGAAGACAATGTTTATTAGGACAACTGCATTGTAGGTATACATAAATTTCGTACACCTTATCTTCAATGCTTTATTTGCACATCATTTGCAAATCGCTCAAATATCACCGCATTTGATAGCTTGTTGGGTTATGTACAGTGTTTCTAACATTCTTCTCATAGTTCTGTCTTCTTCGATTGCTTTTTCCAGTGCCGCAAAACGTGTTGTTACTTTTCTGAATTCGTTTTCTGATATATTACTTATATATCTGATTATAAGTAGCACTTACCACAGTAGTTTCTTCAGGTGATGAAAATTTTTAACTACTGTCAATAATATATGTATAAAGGACATCATTTTTTGGGGGAGAGAAATATACACATCAAAATAGCATAGAATGTTGGCCTGTGTTCTCTTTGACTCACAATATTCTGTATCGAGTCAACGCGGAAGTGAAAGATGAAAACAGGAGAACAAGGAGAATAAAATGTGTTATGTCATCAGGAGTAGTCGCTGCTTTCCTCAAGCTGGAGAATACAATTGAGAAGCTTTCATTATCTATCTAGACAAAGTTGTTTCACGGTTGACTTCAATAATATGAAGTGAACTTATTTGAATTCTCCACCTGAATGATAATATAATTGTATCTCTTGACAACTTTGTCGTGATTAGTTGTTAATTTGCATTAGTATTGATCGGTCAAAGTGGGCGTCCCCTTCAACTCCGAGTCCACAGACACAAAATAGCTGTTAAAAGACAACACGACATGTATTTTTTCTTACATCGATGCATGTAGACAAGTACGGACACCAGTTTAATTAAGAAAATGTAGACATTTCAAACCGTGGAAACATAAAATGCACAAAAGAATTCCTAGAAGCCTAATACTTTGACTGATTTTCAACTCCAGTGTGAATGCAGTGCTACTTACTATGCGGATCAGAGACTTGGCACCGCCTCACGAAGGGCACTTCGAACAAACTATAGACCTTCATCAACAGCTGTCTCCTCTCAATACTACTCAAGATCAGATGGCTTGAAAGGATCAGCAACAGGCATCTCTAGGAGCGAACCAACCAACCAGGAACCAATTGTGCAACAAATCTGCAGGAAAAAATGCAGGTGGATTGACCATACTCTGAGAAAACAAACCACCATCAAGTGACATCACACATCAGGCCACTGTTCGAGTGGGACCCGAATGGGAAGCGGCGAGTTAGTTGGTCGTCAGTGTGAGGGTGACATGGAGGTGGTCATGTGGAGAGAGATGAAAGCGTGTGGGCAGACGTGGATTCAGGTGAAAACGTTGGCAGAGAACCGAACGCAATGAAGACGTGCGGTTGAAGCCCTCTGTTCCTCTAGAAATTAAAGGAAACAACAATAATAATACTAATACAAATTAACAATTAATCAAAACAAATATTGTCGGGACCTACAATCATATTATTATTATTACTCATGATGAATCCAAATTAGTTTACTTCATATTGAAGTTTGCACTGGAGGAATGTTGTCTAGATGGACAATGAAAAGCCTCACAATCAAACCACTCACACACATGAACGAGAAAACCTGTTTCTTTATGTTTCAAATGATTCATTCTAACAGTTACAAAAACTATTTCAATTAGGTGGTGGTTGTTTGTTTGCTCTCATCACCTTCAGATGTATTCAATTTAAACAGAAGAAATTATTATTACTACTATAGTTAGCAGGGCATATTGAAATGGTAAATATACGCTAATGGGATGTGTGTATACTATGGTTGATTTCTGTTTGAGAGATACCGTCTATGCCTAGCAGTACACTGGTCATTCGATTGACTTTCGCATCCAAAAGAAAGAAGTACTTTAGAATCATTACAAATAATGGAACTGTATCCCACACTTCAAGTTATACTTCAATCTCAACGCAACTCAACCCAACTCTTTCCTGTATTACAGTCATATAACAAACGATATACACTAGATTTCAGGATTTCATCATGTGCTGACATTAGTTAGAGAACCATTGGAAAACCTGGGAGTACTGGGCAGCTGTTTCGTCCTAGTTTAGGACTTCAGCAGTACGCACCCACCGGGATTCCAACCCAGGACCTTCCGGTTACAAGGCGAGCTAGCTCGTATACCATTAAGCCACTGGGACCCGATCCAATGGTCCTTGAATTCTATGTCGTGAATTGGCAGAAGTTAGAATTCAAGGACCATTGGATCGGGTCCCAGTGGCTTAATGATATACGAGCTCGCCTTGTAACCAGAAGGTCCTGGATTCGAACCGTGGCGGTGGGTGCGTACAGCTGGAGAGTCCCAAACTAGGACGAAACAGCTGTCCAGTACTCCCAGGTTTTCCAATGGTTCTCTAACTAATGTCAGCTCATGATGAAATTCTGAAACCAATCAAATCCCTACAAACCATCACTTGAATACACTAGATTTGATACAATTCATAAGGTTAAAAAGCAAACATGCTTTTCCAAGCTTTTCAACACTTGTTATTATTACTATTGTGCTCAAAAGAAGAATGTCTATTGATCACCGAGTACAGTGTATTTCTACGGTGTTGATTTTTTAAAAGTTTTTTAAACTGCTTGTCTGTTTATAGTATACACGTGATCTTATTGATATACCCACGGGTTGTGTTGCCTTCTTTGCGACTCTGTGTGTGTGTGTGCGTGTATGTGCGTGTGTGGGTATGAGCATGGATTCGTTCACATATGATTCATGTGCTTTTGAGAGGAGTAACTTTTCTCTTTATGTTCTAATAATAATAATAATAGTAAGTTGTAGTGGTTATGTAATTACCGCTGATCAGTAAGTGAAAACCCTAGAGATTTAAAAAAAAAGAAAAATAACTCTTCTCTTTAGTAGAGTTATATCATGTCATTGTGTGTTATCCCATCTACAATCTACCACCGAGACATAACGCCTTGTTCTTTTTAACTGAAAACTGAGTGGAATGCATATTCAGTAGTGTGCATCAGTGGTTCATCAGTAGGATTGCTTGCCAGCCACTTAAGTTGGCCGGGTTCCATTCCCGACTGATGCACACCTCAACTTTACCTGACCGGTAGGTAAGGCAAGGATAGCAAGTTGCACCCTGTAAATACAATATCACCATCGTCGTAATTATAAAGCTTGAAACCCTCCCTATCTATGTTCCTGTAGAGAAACTCAAAAGAATGAAGCAAAAAAGACATTCAGTAGTATTTTGTTTGAACAATAGTTAGTAAATCGTATCGTTGATCTAGTCGTTTGTATGATGCAGACTGCATACCTATCAGTCAAGTTTGTAATGTGGCCACCATACTACTAGGTAGCTCGCCAATGTTGATATTAGATAGTTGGAGGCAATCGGCCACAGAAAGCCATGCCTGACCTAGGTTTCGTGCTAGTTGGCACTCATCAGCAAGGTGTATCTGCAATCTTGTAGGAACTCATATCGCTTTCTGAGATTCAGAACCGTGTCATCCAGTTCTACACACAGAGAGAGAGAGAGTGAGGTTATCACTGTGTTATTCAGGCTCGTGGTTGTCCTGCTGCACCGAACATAGGACTAGATACACGGCAGTAGTTACTAACTAGTGTCCAATGAAGCTATCCAATACAGTCCTACAGGAGTTCAGTTGTGAGCCCAAATAACTGAGCAGTAGTTCCTTCAAGATTGCAGCGGATACATCTTGCTGACTGGATGAAACCTAGGATGAAGGCTTCCTGTCGATTGCTTCGAAACAATGTAATAATATAACATACAAGTGTACCTAGTTTCTAACTGCATGGCAATGCAAATATAATTAATTTTATTGGCTTATTTTTTAGACTTTCCCACTTTTCGTGGTACATGTAGTTAGGAATACTGACTTTCAGTGCACTAAACACTTCAACTAATTTAGCTTTTCATTGATCAAGCACAACTGTACTTTACCGTGCTATATTAACCTTTGTTTCAGTGTATTCGCAAACATATCATTGATATATTAGTCAAAATCGTTCCATATGGCGTCGCTGAATTCTAAGTCATTGACTCACTAGTGTGACGTGCTTGTGTCAACACTCGAGAGTCCTTGGTTCGATCTGTAGTGGGTTCCATGCATACTCACTTCCTAGACTAGGATTAGTAAGTCATTCAGCGCTCCTGGGTTCATGAGGACTCTCTAACTAATGTTGATTCATCACAGTTTTAATCACGACCTGACGTCAGTTAGAGGACCAATGGAAAACCTGGGAGTACTGGACAGTTGTTTCGTCCCAGGTTGTGACTCTTCATCAGTATGAACTCAGGATCTTCCAGTCACAAGGTAAGCTCGTAGACCATTCAGACAGCCACTGGGACCTGATTCAACGGTCCACGAATCCCACCCGTTGGGAAGTGAGGGCAAATACTCGCTGAAGACATTGGCTAGTGGTCGAGTTAAAATCACGAATCGGTAGAAGTGGTAATTCATGGGCTGGCCAGTGGATTGGTCTCAGTGGCTGAGTGGTCTATGAGCTCACCTTACAATCAGAAGGTGCTGGGTTCCAACCCCTGTGGGTTCACACTTCTGAAGAGTCGTAAACTAGGATGAAACAGCCACCCATTACTCCATGGTTTTCCATTGGTTCTCTAGATGATGTCAGTTCGTGAGCGAACCTGTAGCCAATCAAATCTCTGCGAGCCAACATATGATTGATGTTGATTCGTGACGAAACATACAGTGAAAAATCAATCAAATTATTACAGACGCAGAACATTTGAAAGCTATTTAGTCAAACGACACGGTAGAACCTGAAAATTGTGGTAATCTGATATCCTATTCCACTAGTTATGTGGTAAACTTAAATGGTATTAACCCTGATCTTCCCGGGTTTGATTCAACATTGAGTTGTAAGTGTGCATTAATGATGAGTGCTCATATTTTCCAAAGGTTTTCTGGGGATGATAAAAGTGTGGAGTAATTTTCTCAAAGACGTATTGAGAAGAATGTGAAAATTAGTCATGATTATTCATAAGGTTACATTTTTAGTGATTCACTTCGCTAGAAATAAAAACGAACAATTTTTGTATAAGGATTAATCCAGGTTGACAATTTTTTATCGAGAATAATAGGTAGTTTCTTACATCATATACCCGATCGAGTTAATATTTCTGATATCCGTTATTACATTCATTCCAACCAGTAGTAAGTATTGCGCTGAGAAACTATTTGTGTAAATATTCGTCAAGTATAAAATCTGGAATCCATAGTAACTGTTTTACTTTACTTAACTAGTTTCACAGCCTTAGCTTGTATGTAAATAATTGCCTGTATTAGTTGCTATTGCACTGCACCCAGTTCATTGATATACCAGCATCTTGTGGTTCTAATAAAAATCGTAATTGGTGGAGTTCATCAACAACAGCAGCAACATCAAGCGCGAATCACCATCAACGAAAGGGATTTGAAAGTGGTCACTTCATTCACTTATCTAGGGAGCATTGTCTCAACTACAGGAAGTCGGGACGGAGAGGATGTCAAATCGAGCGAGAATCGGGAAGGCGAGAAACACATTCACTCATCAACCTGAAACCAATCTGGAAATCTTCGTCACTCAGCATCAATAACAAAATTCGGTCGGATCTTCAATACAAACGTCAAGTCAGTCAGTTCTTCTATACGGATGATAAACTTGGCGGGCGGGTCACAAAGAATATTTCCAACAGGCTATTGCAGACCTTTATCAACCAACAACTGTCTTCGCTCTTTGCTGAAGATAAGATGGGTGAGTCGGAAAGAATCACCAACAAGAGAAACTATGGGAAGAAACAAAACAAGAACCAATCGCCGCCAAAGAAATATGGAGGAGAAAGTGGAGATGGATTGGGCACTCGTGGCGGAGGAGGCCACCGGGTGACATCGCGCGCGTCAGGCCATTGCTCGAGTGGAACCAGGCCGAAAGGGAAGTGGTGAGTAGGACGTCAGTGCAAGGGTGACATGGAGGATATCGTATGAAGAGGAGTTGAAACAGTATGGAGTAACATGGATGCAGGTGAAAAGTACAGCAGAAGATAGAAGCAAGTGGAGACGTGCAGTTGAAGCACTAATAACTAGTGGGGTATAAACTAGCCGTCTACTTACAAGTTCACTACGTAATCCGATGAATCATAGCTTGTAATAATAATAATAATAAAGAGTTGCATACGAGTGATTCACTTCGTGTATCATTCAATACATGCAAATTAGCTTGTAGACATACTTTATTATTAAAGTACCAGCACCAAGTGTAGATTTGATAGCAGACTGATGATGTGAGGCCAGTCTGCGTATTTGATCATCGCTTTCTTCGTAGCATTGCTAGCATTCAATGGAATCATCGTTTGTGTAATTCTGAGATCCTGCAACATGTATGTTTAGATACAGTGGAGATCAGCACTCATTGAGTGTTGTTGTCTGGAAACACCGGCTTCGGTGGCTTCTACATGTTCTGAGAATGTCATCATCAGCTAAGAGGCTTCTGCTAGTCTTGGGATTGGATGGATAAGCTGAGAGGTGGTCAGTCTATGACGTGGCACCGTGGGATGAAGGATATTTGTTTTGACTTGGCATCGGTTAGTACATCAAGACTTATTGGTTTGGATCCAAGAGATGATGCGAGTCGGTATCTCGAGATGTTATGAGATGTGGCTAAGAATCGTTATCAGTGGTGAATGAATGTTCTTCAACTTCCTTCTTTCTTCTCTCTCTTTCTGAAAGTAATATGAAGTAGTAAACGGTTGAATGATCTTGACAAGTATGCTTTCTTGTTTCCTGGATGACCTCTCTCATTCATTCTCTCCCTATTTTCATTATATATATATTGTTGTGTGGCGCCCATATTGTATTAAGTCTATTTTTAAAAAATAAGAAATAATACCTAAGAGAAAATTATCTATAAGTGCATAAGCAAAGTGAATACTTTCAATATTGAAGAACATCATTATTGTAATATTCTTTGTTATTCTCACTTTTACTTGTTCTTGATTTTACCTATTTTTTTAGATATCATATTGCAAAAATGTCTTTAACAGATCGTGTCGAGAAAATGCAATCAGTGGTAGCCACTTTAGAAACAGATTTAGAAGTTCTCTGTTTAACTGGTGTCGAGGATAGACTTCAAGATGGAGTAAGTTACAAAGAAGAGTTTAGACCATATGTATTATTATATAAATACCAATAGTAACAATACGAATAATCATAATTATTAATCCCTAGGGTTCCGAGTGGAATATAGAACTCTTTAACAGCACGTCTCCATTCCAACCTGTTCTATGCAGTTCTGTCTAATTGCCCATGATCTTTCACCCTCCTCCTTGTCACTCTTGGACACCGGGCTTCACTCGAACTCTCAACGATTTTCTCAGAGTGTATCCACACCATCTCCGTTTCTTTCTGCATATTTGTTGGGCTATAATAAGTTCTTGATTGCTTCGTTGCCAGAGTTCCTCGATGGGCGATGTTAGCTGACATAGGATCAAATTGGAAAAGAGTTAATGGTGATCAAACCAAAAACTTATAAATGCTTCGTGAAATCTTTGACAGTTAGGTACATATTGAGGTTGTAAGCTTCCTGGTTGTGGTCCTCCGAAGTAATAGTTAAAGACAGTGGGTAATATGGCTCAAAATTGTTGTCAATAGCGAAGGTGCATTCAGTCTTTGTGATCTCCTGTATCCATTAAGCCATCATTTTATTGTATGCTACCATTCTTTCTTAGGTGCATTTCTGCTTATTATTGTCCTTTCGAATCTCTTTTCCCCCTCTCTTCTGTCTTCCTTTGTGTGTGGTACATGGGTGTGGCAAGTTGGACTGGTGCACTCTGTGATAGTTTTGTAACAATAGAGGACAAGGTCCAAGTAACAGATCGTTTATTTACGAAATCAACAGATATTTACAGATTTCCATGTACATTATTATAGATTATTTTAAGCAAACAAACACCGTCTTCTGATTAATGGTTTGTCGCTGAACATTAATCTTTCATCTCTTTGTAACGGTTGTTTCTTGAAGTTCAGATTATCTATCTGCAAATTGTATCCACCTACGCAAAGTCTGCTGTGATTGGTTGTTGAATCAATCTTTGCTCATATATTTCTCATGACCAATATTGGGGACGTAAACATTGACGTAAATTGCTGTCTATCGATTTGGCTAGCAGCCAGCTCTCACCACAGTTTAACATATACTGACCTTAAATCAAGTGCCATTCAGGGTATTCTTGGAAATCTTATTCTTTACTTTTCGTATTCCCTTTTTCCCCAAAAACCTTGCAATAAGAGACGTCAATGTTATAACGTTTGACAGCTTATAAGCTGTAATTACACAGAATATTTTCTTGTCTACTAACGTGAGTAGGATAGCATTCATTCTTTCTTCCTTTGGCTAGCCAGACTTGACAGTCTTCCAATATATGTTCACAGATATTTGATTCTGACTACTGTTGCATAGCGAGTCTTGAAAACGACATCTTAGATCGTCGGATTTGATCAGTCAATTGCACATCTACAAAAGATATGTAGGATAATACTTTTATGATTTGTGATGAAAAATTCAATCTAGACAATTTCCTCGACGCCTTCGATAAAATTTACTTTAAAGCGAGAATCGAACATGTCCTTTTCCATTTCTGGATGTACATCCCTCTAGACAATTCGATTCACGCATCTGTATGATGAAAACTAACATGCACTAGACACTTTACTAACTTCTAGAGTTTTGTTTTCGTTGGTCAGAAAGCAAAACCAGCCACATTCTTTATGCTCAGGGATTATAAAAAAATTTATTTGTAAGATTAGATAGGAAGAGAATAAATTAAAATCTCTACACGGTACCCTACTGGAATGGGAAACAGATATTACACCTAGAGTTATTAACTGAAACGTGAGAGTAAAACCTCCGTCGGTGAAGATTGCAACTGTTCCTACGAGAACTCCCTTCATGAGCCTAGAATTCGAAGGTGATATTGAAGCAGTAATTCTTAGAAACCGCCTATCCAAGTGTGTCTGAAGAAGACATTTCCGTTAAGTTACCTAGGGAATCACATTCTCCAATGGATAGTAGTAAATCCAGTCAGTCGTTAAGGATAGGATACCGCTCTTGTCCACCTGAATGTGTACTTATCAATTTAAAATATTTCCTGTGGAGCAAAGTGTATCAACCATAGACAGCGTTAAGTTCACAAAAATATTTGGGAACACTGTCCAGCCTGGCTAGCTAGAGGAGAAAGGAACATCTTATCAAATCTGGGCATTGTGCACCCTTGTATGATTGCTTCACATTATTAATGTGAACACGTTAAAAAGCATCTCTGGTTTAATACTTGGTCTCCTCCCACTAGGTAAAATAGGTAGATTGATTGATATGATTTTATTGGAGAATGTGTGCACAGTATGTTTAATTTTATAATAAGTGAGGTCGACTATCTCTTCTTTCATATATATTATCGTTATTCAGCACAACTGAGCATAATCAATCACTGTGACTGCTAAAATTAAAAAGCTTTCACATTGTCCATTTTACTAGATTTACTAGATGTGCCTTACCTATACTACTATGGTGTGTACGTGTGTGTGTTAAATTCTACTTTTATTCTCAATAAAATTTCAGGTTCGTCCAGCCTTAGAAGCTTTAAGAAATGCTGGTATACGCGTATGGATGTTAACAGGAGATAAACTTGAAACAGCTGCTTGTATTGCTAAATCTTCGCGTCTAGTTGGTCGTGATACGCCTATGTATATATTTCAGCCTGTCAATGGTCGAATGGAAGCTCATTTGGAGTTGAATGCCTTCCGTAAACGTTGTGATCATGCCCTGTTGATAACTGGAACATCAATGGAAGTAAGTGATGATACATATCATAATTGTGTTATTATAGTGGGTTAAATAATTTATGATTTATAGTGTAGAGTTATTTGCCAGTATCCTCAGCTCTATGCTAAGGGCAAATATGACGATCACTAGAAACTAGATTTGACTGAATGCTATGAATCACCCTGAATGCTCTTTCGTTTTTCTTCAATGGATGGCCTTTATTAACCAGATGAGACAAAATATAACTTCAGATGATTTTTATGCATAATAGTAATACGTTTTTACGAGTTGATCACGGATTGATATCAGTTAGAGAGCCATTGAAAACCAGGAAGTACTGGAGAGCTGTTTCATGAGCCGCTGAATCATGTCCCAGTGGCTGAATGGCTTATGAGCCAGCTTGCCTTGTAACTGGAAGGTCCTGGGTTCGAATCCCAGTGGGTGCGTACTGCCGATGATTCCCGAACGAGGATGAAACAGCTGTCCAGTATTTGAGTGCTGGTTTTCAATGGTTCTCTAACTGATAACAACCCGCGATCAACTCGTATAAACAAATCCCATCCTTACAAACCGAACTATAGAAAATAATACGTTTACTCTACACAAAATTTTAACACAATACACAGAATTTTCGGTGTAGTCAATTGCGTGATATTTTCCTTTCATCCTGGATCTCCAAGCAAAATATCAATCTAAAGTACGTCATGTGACTCAATACTGCTCGATCTGAAGAATAAATTAATCCCTTCTAGTATATTTCTCTCGTCGCCAAGAGATACGCAACATCAGGGCGAAATCCAACTTAAAAATGTACATGAGTACATTTAGCAGCCGACAGATATAATTGAATGGTTAAAGCAAGGGGAAACAGAAAATTTTAATCATTATGTTAGATGGAAACCAAGGTAGCTTAGTGATTGAAGCAGACCGCCATGTATTATCAAATGTGACTTTTACTCAAACCACGATGGGACATGCTCTTTGAAATGGTGACTAAGCTGTTCTCACCTGTACTCACAATTTTTACTGTCTCTACAAGAGCAATTGTGAACTGATAAATACATCCGGATGCAGCTGAACTACTTAGCTTATCTTTAGTTTGGCTTGCAGTCAGTTAAATGCTGGTTTGGTGAGAGCTGTCTGCAAGACACAATCGGTAGACAACAATTGACGTTAGTGTTTACGTCCCAAATCGGGGTCATGAGAAAAAACAAGAACAAAAACTAACCCTGAGGAACTCAAAAACCAATCACAGCAGACTTAGCGTGAGGGGATACGATTTGCAGATATATCACCGGACTGTCTAAGAAATGGGAACAATCAGATGACAGAATAACCTTCAGCAGGAAAACAACCAATCAAAAGACATTGCTTCCCTGCTAACAATAACGCTAATAATAATAATAATGTAGATAAAAATGTATAAATATCTGTTGATTTCGTAAATAAACGATCTGTTGCCTGGCCCTTGTCCTCTGTCGTTACAGTGGTATAATGTATGTTTCCAGACTTGTGGTAACCCCAGGAGAGGACACTAGAAACCGATAGCTAGGGGCTGGTAGTAAATCGTCTACATCGACTGTTTTCTTCAGGTAATGCCAAGGAACGAAAAAAAAAAAGTTTTTTAGTTTGTCGTCCTCGTCTGTACAATTTTTATATCTATATTTCCGTCTTCAAGTGCACTTTTCAGGAGTGTGACAAATTCGACTGATGCATTTCTCTATGGAAGCTCCTACGTTAACTTGTCAATCATTCATTTTCTATGCCACAAACATTTTCCATTATCGCTCATCTAAGTCTTGATGAAGTGAAATATCTACCTGATTTGATTTAGAATGCATAAATATCAAGAGATTGCCTTGGTTTTCGCTCTTCCATATCCTTTTCTCAGCCTTTAGGAATAAAAATGCAATGTTATTTGATAAAATTATGCGCAAGTAAAGCTTCTGGGACAGGTTGGCGTTGCATTTCAGAGATGAATACAACTTTTATTTATTTAGACCAATATTCCATGTGACAGCCATGTGTTTTCCTCCTTTCAAATTACTGGTTGAATTGTGCGTATGCTGTGTTGTGTCGCCACGGTAACTGAGAGAGATCATTGGGTTTTTCAATTTGTGTCTAGTCATCAACCACGGATATGTGAATGATTTTAAAGATATAAGTCAATCGGTGATATTGTGAAGCTACATTGATCGAGAGGTCATTAGGACACATATTGTGCATGCTTAGTCATCGCTTTCGTTGATCAATGTTAGCTGTCATTGAATTACGCTAGAGAAAAGTTATGAGTGATCAAAGCAAAATCTAGCATAAATCCATGAAATCCTTGACAGCTGTTTGGGCTAGCCAGCCACGTAGAGAGTTGTAGACTACGTTGGTTGGCCTCATCGAGATGTAAAGATTCAATGATGGAGGTTGTTAGTGGTATGGCTCAAAATCGACCTAGAAGTATTCACTCTGTGATTTTCCATATCTGTTAAGTTTTTGTGTTTTTCCATGTTGCTTTTCTTTCTCCCTCACATTTCGGCTGATTATTTTTATTTAGCTTTTATTTCTTCACGCCCAGCCTTCCCTGTCTACCGGGCATACTTACCGGTTAACACAAGTGATATATATATATATATGTATATATGTGTATGGTGATCTCTCTTTCTGTTTGCTCGCTTAGTCTGTGACCATTTCACTTTGATGAACCTGTCTCCTTTAACAATGTATATTCCCCTTATATTATATGTAATATGAGTGTTTGTTGACAGTCCGTTGCTTGGTGACATATATCCATATTATATGTGTGGTTGTTGACATGTCTGCTATATTTTGCTATGTATATATGGATCGACACTCCATTATAATTAGCCATTCATGTTAAGACTGTTTATTGATTTGTTCACACACTTGTCTGGACATTCATATATATATTTCTCTCTACACAATCTTGTGTGACTCTTTGGTGTGATACCACTTATTGCTTCTCCTTGTGTTTGGAAAATAGAAGTATCATCGCAAACCTAGTGGTCTTCTGATTTCCGCCTTCTTGCGTCAGGACTATTAAATTCTCGACCAGAACATAACAATAATTTGGCGACGAGTACATAACAATTTGGCGACGGGGAAAACTACTATTAACCACTCAGCAGCAGCAACATAACAACAAGGTTAAGGAGTGAGTCAGCCAGAGACCACTAAACCCCCTACCTATGTACGTGGTTGGCGAGTATTCTATCACTGTACCACCACCGACGCACTCTGCTCGTTACAGTCCTTTTGATTGTTTTTTTTCCTTTTTCTCTACCTTGTGTACTGTATGAAGTATGTGGCAACTTGAACTTTTGTTGCACTTCTGTGGAAAGTTCTAGGTTGAAACTCAGTTAGTGAGATATTCAATTTCATCTTATGAGTAACTTCTGTGATTATTTATTTCTATATTTCTCTGCTGGAAAGAAAATGAGTTGAAACTCTTTGATAATAATAATAATAATAGGAGGCACAGCATGTAAACTCTGTTCCAAACTACTAATCGTAGTGATTACACGATTTTAGTGTCTAATGGATGCTGTGCACACTAATTTTTGTGACTTCATTTGATTTTACAGTAAGAAAGGTATCTAACATGCCTTTTGATCGTGAAATATCATTATTTTTGAACGCATAAAGGTGGTTTAAACTTCCTAATTGCCAGCTAGGGATTCTACAAACTTTAGGATACGCCTCAGACGCGTTGTATAGATAGATAGGTTTAAAAGACGTGTATACATCAATTTTATATCCTGTCTCTGTAATATGTTTCACAGCAGAGTGGCTAGGTCTCCTATTCTCATTATTAATGGGTTTAGGAGATTCTATTTGCTTTTGAAGCCAGCCCTTACTTGAAGAGACCGATGAGTCTCCTCCCTATGTATGTGTCGCTACACATACATTTAAATTGGTGAATACAGTGAGTGAGATGTGACATCATTTTTCTCACGTTCTTAGATAGCTTAGATGATTATATCGGCTTCACATTCTCAATTAGTATGATCTTAGTTGCATTAAAAGTCTTACTAACCTTAGAGTTCAATCTTTATTGAGCTAACAAGCTGTTATGATCACCCATATAGGGTAGCTTGATGTATGCGTCTTTCTTAGCGGTGAGTTTGGAGAGTGGGTCTTAGTGTTCTGACTACTTTATATCTCTTAATAAACTTGTCTGGATAATTATTATCAACCAAATTAAATGTACGTGTGGCCACACATACATAAGGAGGACTCATAGATCTCTACAAGTAAAGGCTAGTCCGCTCTGTCCTCCTATATGGCTGTGAGACCTGGCTATTGGGAGTGGAAGACATGAAAAGATTAGCTGTCTTTGATCATAGGTGCCTGCGGTCTATCTCCCGTGTTAAGTGGTATAATAAGGTGAGCAATATTGAGGTTAGGCTTCGGTCGAGTTCTAGGTAAGGAGGGGAAATCAAACGACAACGAGGCTGTGAAATTACTTCGATTGAGATGGTTAGGGCATGTGTTACGCATGCCTAGCCATCGATCACCCCTCTTTCGATGGGCAATTTTAGCTGACAGGGTCACGTTGGAAAGGAGCCAGTAGTGGTCACCCCAAAACATGGCTTCATCAGTCAATGAAATCCATAACAGTTAGCTCAAGTCACGTAGGAATGTGCAGAATTCCTGGTTGGTATCATCGGGGCAGTAAAAACCAATGGTTGGAAACAATTGGTGATATGGCTCAAAATCATTCTCAATGGCTGGTGCAGATGTATCCACTCCTTGTGACTTATGATTTTCAATGAAACTGTTTTGTTTTTCTTTATTACTCCTTTGTCTCACACCTCTGCTCACTGTTTCTATTATGCTTTTCTTGTACTTTCTTCTCTTGCTTCGTGTGCTACATTGGGTGTGGTGACTTGAACTGGCGCACATTTGTGCAAAGTTCTATGTCGAAAACAGACAGACAAGTAATGGCTGACTTCAAAGCCAATTACGAAATGGCTTTATAAGCAAATAGAATCCCCAAAACCCATTAGTGGTAGGAACAGGAGACTTAGGTTCTTTATTGAGAAACATATTATAGAGACAGGAGATACAATTGTTGTGTTTACACGTCTTTTAAAACTTATCACTATTTGGTTTTAGCGTTTTTATACAATTCTATCGTGAAATGGTAAAATGAGCAAAGTTTTGATCAAATAACAATAGTAATCATGTTTTTCTGTGTACATCTGTCATGGTTCATAGCACTATATTGTGCGCGTGTGTGTGTGTTAGTGTGTTCTGTTCATGTACTTATTTATTGTTCAAAAGGAGGAGTGTACACAGTGTTTCAAAAAAAGTATATGTTGTTTTCTGCTATCTTTTTTTATTTTTTCTGTACACTATAGACATGTTTACGATTTTATGAGCATGAATTTGTTGAATTGGCAAGACAATCACCAGCTGTAGTTGTTTGTCGTTGTTCACCGACACAAAAAACCCAGATTGTCAGCTTGTTAAGATATCATACAAAGGCGAGAGTAGCAGCTATTGGTGACGGGGGTAATGATGTCGGTATGATACAAGCAGCTGATCTTGGTCTTGGTCTATTGGGTAAAGAAGGTCGACAGGCTAGTTTAGCTTCTGATTTCAGCTTGGCCCAATTCAGACATGTTACCCAACTGTTACTGGTACACGGGAGAAATTGTTATAAGAATACAGCTGCATTAGCTTTATTTGTTATTCATCGGGGTAAGTTGTGTGTGTACATATTGGAATAAAGTTCGTTGGTTGTTTTTTAGTCTCTCTGACAGACTTTGTGTAAATGCATTCACTTTTATGGCATACACTTATTCCCCCATCCCGCACCCCCTCCATCCCCGTTGTGAAGCAAGTTAGAAAAACAGTGTGCGTCGGTGGCATAGCGTTTGGGACGCTCGCCGACCATGCACGTGGTCCGGGGTTCGATCTCCGGCCGGCGCACTCCTTTGCCTCACTCAGCCAGAAGTAAAGCTGGTGAAGAAGAAAGGTTGGACATGAGGCCAGCAACCCTATCCTGTAAAAATAAACACTGCTACAGAAACTTCAAGCCTCTAGCTCGTAGCCCTATGTTCCACTGGAAACGTGAAGGAAAAAAAGAACAACAGTGGTTTGTGCGGAATAAGATGGCACCGTCATCATCATTTGTTTCGTTGGCTTCTTTTCAGCTGCGCGTACAGCCTAAAGAAGAGAATTTTAACATACTTGGAGAAGTTATGTAATGTCATTTAATGACAGGAGACTTCGAACTTAATAAACAGTGCTTAGAAAATTACACTTATATAGTCTATACCCAGAGAGTTCACGTCTAAAAAAAAATAAATGTTCGCTTACAATGGCAAGGAAGTTACGTAATAGAGATAAGATGCGAGTAACTAATAATAAATTGAGTAACAAAGTGGTGAGTTAAACTCAAATCGTAGGAACAAAAAACAAACACAGTCAAGTTATATCAAAGCGGGCGGGGGGGGGAGGTTAGTAGGTTAAAGTCAAAGCTTATCTAATCAAATGAAAGAGACAGAGTCGAAATATCTATTTGCCACAGCAACGCAAGGCTGATAACCGCTTCTTTCTGAACACATAAGTTTGGTTCCAGGCGTTTAATAGCGATTGCTTCAGAAAACTTTAGGGGTATTGAATTATTTAGTCTACTGATAATTCTAAAGGATTTCATGAGGTCCACCTCATTATCCGTATCAACGAAATGTCTGGCAATCGCACTATTGTAAGCGTTTTTTCCATCTGATATTGTAGGCTTTTTGGTGCATGTCCATAAAGTAGTAGGTGTGCCCTTCTTTCAGTCCTCACAATATAATTCCTAATTCAGGTACATGTAAATTTGTATACACAATAGTTAAAATTAGCACGATAAGATTATGTGTTGAACTTTGATTGCACCAAAGAGCATGCTGTCCAATAAACCGGAACTGCAGGATACGTTCTGGTTTCTGTTAACTAGGCCTGCAGTGTTATTACGTTTAGAATACAGTTGAATGCAGATAGGCTTCTTTTTCATTGTAATTCGTTTAACATTTTAGCACAACTTAGGTACTTGTTAATGAATTTCTGAGGATACCCGTTGTTCTGTAACCTCTTTTCGAGGATCTTAAATCCTTCCTCTAATGTAAAATCCCTTATAGTAATTCGTTTTTGATTTAATTTAGCACTTCCCGTTGTTTGATTACGGTGGACCGAAAGGTGCTCAGTCTCTGTTGACATATTGACTGACTCCTAGTATGGAAGTTTGGACGATATCTTAGGATTAATGTGAAGTTATTTCGCTACTATAGGCCGACATGTTAAGAAACTGAGCAAATATCAACTGACACCCGTTGCACAAGAGGCGACCCCACGTTTCCCTTGGGTTGTTCTGTGTCGTTTCAAACGATTTATGTAGGTTCCGAGTCTTGGTGAGAACACCATCACTCATCGAGAACGCAGGTACATTCAGCTGACGAGTCCCATATAGGACGGCATGCGCCTGCTGGGTTGCATTGCTAGTCAAACCCCCCCCACCAACCAAAATAATTTTATTTTTCTGTTTACAGTTTTTTTGCTGTTGCAAACTGAACCACTCCTCGTATTGTTGACGTTCAGATTGGCATAGTTTTTGTAATCTTAGTAGCTATGAAAAAAACTGAAATTTTTGGGTGTCTTTATGTTACGCGAAGTTGTTTTCGTTCAAGTTAAACAAGTAATTTGAACCGGTGTGTAAATAATTATATCCAGATTTAATAATCTAGGTTAAGTTGGGTTCATTTCATATATAAAACTATTCATCCGCTGTTCGCTAACTCGATTGGACGATGTCACCGTACATAATCTTATTCATTCATTCACTAAGGTGAGGTGCTTTTAGATCACGCAGGTGACGAAGACTTATTACAATGAGTTGTACTTTTAAGCTACACATATGATTAGATTCTACTTTCACGAATTCGAATCGTTCCCCTTTCCCCCGTCGAACTGTTACCCAGTGGCATGTTGTTATTAATAACAAGGCAAAAACGTGTAACTATCCGTCGCCAAACAAATTAGCTGTAATATTGTTGTCTTACCGACTAGCAATAAAGTTTTGAGCGATTTTTCACGCTACTCACTAATAATAAGTAGTGAATGTAAAACATTTGACATCAATGAATTATGAGTTTATTTAATTGCCCTGCAGTGTTTGTCAGGTCAAATACATGGACCAGAATAGTAAGATGGAGTCAATTAGGTTAAGTGGAGTGCAAAACTCCAGCAAAATCTAGATCAGTTAACTCTAATAAGATAAGAAATCTAGAAAATAGCTCAGCTATGTAGTACTGCATGCGGTTATACACAACCATATAGCTTGCATGGGACAAGATGATAAGCTTAAAGTCTGACATAACGGCTTGGAGGAAAGACTAATGACTGAAGTTTTATCTGTGGAATCAACAGAGGGGAATACGTGTAATGGGAATGGTTCAACACCTGTCCATCCGAACATCTGGAAAATTCTACTACATCAATGACAAATAGTGAGGAATAAGGTAGGTAGTTACCTGGGTTCCAGTGAGATGTCGTGACCAGTAGGGTGCAGTAAGTCGGGTGTGAGGACAAATACTCGCCAAAGGCATTCTCTAGTGGTCGCTCCATATCGTGAATTGGCAGAAGTCGGAATTCATGGGCCATTGGATTGGGTCCCAGTGGCTTAACGGTCTATGAACTCGCTAACCTTGTAACCAGAAGGTCCTGGATTCGAACCCTGGCGATGGATGCGTAGTGCTGAAGAGTCACAAACTAGGACGAAACAGTTGTCCAGTACTCCAGGTTTTCCAATGGTTCTCTAACTGATGTCAGCTCATGATGAAATCCTGTAACCAATAAAGAAATCCATTTTAAACGAAAGTTTCGAAGTTGTGTAGTTACAATATTGTTATAAACAACGAATTGTGTCTTGAAAGGCTTGTCATCAGTAGGTAATACTATTTCACTGTGTGTGTGTGTTTGTGATTTATCCGATAAACAAATTAATATGGAATTATGTACTACTACCGCAATGTTCAAGTCTTACACAATATCAATACATATAAAATATCAAAAAGTCAGTTACAGAGAACAAAATTGTCTTTCCAATGAAGTCATCAGCTAGACTGTACATTCATGTATTTATAGTAAGTGGATGACGAAGTCCCTGAACTATTTCTGACCAAGAATCAAATTAATATAGTTGCTGAGTATAATAAACAGGAAAGTCGGATAAAAATATAGACTAGGACCATAATTACTGATAATATTGACTTTATGCGCAATCAGGGATTAGAAACGGAATAATAACAAAATGGATAGGTAGTTCGGATAAAAGACATAGTAGTGCAGATAGGAATTTAAAAAAAACGTAAAAATAAAAGAAATAAACAGGTAGGTTGGATAAGGAAGGGTGATAGGATATTCATTGTTGTTAGGATTGATTTTTTATGATGGCCATGTTAGAGACAACAGTTGGATGTATTACTTTTGAATACATAGGATGGGCTTCGACTTTTGGATTCCCGGTGCCTCAGCCATGCCAAGCCAGGTGCCTTGATCTCACTCCCTTTTAGAACTTTGGTTAGACCTCGTATATGACTTTGAAGGACTTTTCAAATGGGGCTGAATGTCCTGAATTCATTAGATGTTCTGTTACCGAACTATACGCACACTTGCGTTATCCCTATGCTACCCAAACAGGTTGGATGGTTTTTCCTGTGATCTAATGTGGTATATTCCGCGATGTATTCATGCATAATTATTTATTTATTATTATTTCTTTCTATAACAGGTTCAATTATCACTGTTATGCAGGCAATATTCTCAGCTGTATTCTACTTTGTTGCAATACCATTATTTCCAAGTTTCCTACTTGTCGGTTATGCAACAGTATTCACTATGTTCCCTGTATTTTCTTTGGTACTTGACAAAGATGTACCAGATCGTATTGCTATTACCTATCCTGAATTATATAAAACACTACAGAAAGGTCGTGAATTGACTTTTAAAACATATTTCATCTGGCAGTTGATTAGTGTTTATCAAGGTGAGTTGTGGTTTTTGCTTTCATTTATTTATTTTCCATTCCTCTACGTTCCCAGTGGAACATAGGGCGCCTTCAAGCTAAAGGCTTGAAGTTTCGGTAGCAGTGGTGTTTATTTTTACGGGATGGGGTTGCTAACCTCACCTGACCCAACCTTTCATCTTTACCAGTTTCATTGCTGGTTTGGAGTGGTATGGGAGTGCGTTGGCTGAGGATCGAACCCTGGAGAACTTGCATAGTCGGCGAGCGTCCTACCGCTGTGTCACTGATGTACTTTGCTATATATACTGCTGCTCAGTACCTTCACAGCTTTTGCCATCTAGCGAAATCTTTTACACATAACTGGTATCAATCTACTTGTTAAGAGGGATTTGTGCTGGTTGTTGAAAGCGAACAACTAAAGAAAATCCAAGGATTTTCATTATGAGTACTGGTATGGAATGTTCTACTGATAAGTTATAAGTAGTATATAGATGCAGATATAAATATATGTATATCATCTGCAATGAATATCGAATAGCAGAGAGATGGATTTAGGGAACAATGGTTGTTATGAAACAACATGGAAAAATTGAGAGGAAGACAAAGTTGCACAATACGGAAGATATGTGCAAATTGTCATTCTAATATATGTTAAACGTTGAATTGAATTTTTGATTTTCCCGTCGATTGATTGGACCGAGGTCTCAGGTTGACATGTCGGCTTCTTGTGCAGATGCTTCGACGATATCTGGGTATTTAATTAGTATACAATTGGTGGATGGTGGCTAGCAGTGGAATCCAGGATGCGCATTTCGTCCTATTTGGGACTCGTCATCTGGATGCGCCTGCATTTCTCAGTGAGTGATGATGTTCTTCGGTCCAATCAATCGACGGGAAAATCAAAAATTCAATTCAATAATTAATATGACCCGTTGCACTAGAGGTGGCTCTCGTGGCCCAAGTGGTCTAGTGGGTAACGCTTTGGCATTTGAAACTATGGGTACTGGGTTCGAGCCTCGGTGGGAACATCATCACTCACTGAGAAATGCAGGTATATCCAGATGACGAGTCCCAAATAGGACGAAATGCGCATCCTGGATTCCACTGCTAGCCACCATCCACCAATTGTATACTAATATGTTAAACGTATTTTGAATCGAGTTGCCAATAAATATTTCCATTATCATGAAATCGTGTCTTCTGTTGTTACACTTAGGTTGAGTTAGGGTACAACAACGTGGTAAAGGAGGATAAGTCTACCGAAAAGGTTATACGGTTTCATCGATGTAGCATTTGGGTAAAAGCCATTTTCCTCCATGAGGAATTATATCTTAAGTAAGATCATGTTGGACATGTGATGGAGAAGATCTGTAGTTCAGGTGAATGATTTTGATGTAGTCGTCTCTGCTGATGACCTGGTGGTCAATCACGTCCAAGGTCACCAGGAGAGATGACCTATAAACTCGTGGAGAAATCTAAAAGCTCACTTCAACGAATTGAAGTATGCGCTGAAGATGTCGCCTAGTAGGCCAATGAAAGCTTCTCAAATAAACTAACCAGCTCAGAGAATACAACGACATCAAAATGTTGGGCCTGTGTTAGAAGTTATAAGGCCGAAATACACACTTAGTCTATGCAATCACGGACTATTAGTCGGAGTCATTTAGCCGAGGTATAAGCTATCTGGATGGGAGTGCTTAAAATAGTCCTATATTAATATTAGAACAAGGCATATAAGCATATATATATACAAACTTACCTGGCGCCGGGTTCAGGGTGATCAAGAATGCTCTCACCCCGGGTGGAGGCTCACCATTGCACCTCGGTGGGTTGAAACTCGCGACGGACCCTAATCGGGTGCGCTCGGGCGTGTAGTTTTTGTCAGTGGGGAGGCCTCATGGTCCTCTTTTTTATTTTGGTGCGTCGGTGGCACAGTGGTTAGGACTCTCGCCGACCATGCACATGGTCCGGGGTTCGAGCTCACGCCGACGCACACTTGATATCTATGGTCGGCCTGCGAATTTTGGGCTACCGATATCCACGCTGAAAATTCCATACTTGTACCAAAAATACGGTGTGGAATCAAGCTGTAATCAAAAATAAAAAATAAAAATATATGCTTTAACGTAAACCTACTGCGTACCTGTACCTAACTTAAACCTGGAAACATGAGGAATAGTTACCGTGGCGTGCGAACGCACCAATGATCCTGAACGGATACTACCATTCGTTGGATTACAGGACCTAACGTGTATTCTACTTCTAGAAGCCGTTTAGGTACAAAAAGTACACATAATGCTGAAAGACATTAAATACAATATATTGTCCTGACGTAACTAAAGAAATACTTACAGATTAAAATGAAGGGTATCAGTTTTATGTTTCACTGCTATCAGAGTAGTTTCGTCTGTATGAATAACGAAACACTCCGCTCCCATGTATTTATTTTGCGAGAAAAATACAGTTAATAATAATAATAACAAAACACCCTATCCCGATTCCTCATTTTAACCCTAATACTTACCTTAACTCTAGTCCTAATCCTAACCACGACCCTTACCCTAATTACTAACCCTAACCCTAATGCTCTATCAACTCACTGTCCAAATAGTGCTTGAAAATGATTTCAGGATGAAATGTGCACATCAGTTCATGCTGACGCTGCAATAACGCCGGTGAATGAAATGAAATGATTTAAGATCTAGTGATCATCAGTCCAGTCCCGCCTACAACCAGTCATACAGTACTGAAGAAAGAAGTTTACTTCACTAAGAGATAAAACTAACGGAGTCCTGAAAATTGTTCCTTAGAACATAATCAAATTATATAACAGATGTAGTCAGTGTGTGTGTACTGTCGATGAGCCCCAGACTAGGCTGACGAAACAGCTGTCCAGTATTCCAGAGCTGGTTTTCAGTGGTTCTCTAACTAACAGCCATCCGTGGTCAGTCTTGATTCAAAACAAATCATTATGAAGTCTGATAGAGAAATGTATCAGCTGAAGTTTTCTGTACTATGAAATGACACATAAAGAGAATGGAATTAGGACTAAAGTAATGTCAGATTGATAGAATACAAACAAAAAAGTGTGATGTTGAATGTGAACATGTTTAAAAATAAATAAATAAATAAAATAATAAATAAAAAAAATTGAAGATGCGCTGAAGATGTCACCAGTAAGGTGATGAAAGCTTCGCAAACTAACCATCCAGCTCAGAGAACAAAACCACAAAAAATAAATATATCTAGCCTGCTGGTGGCACCAGTGACCTGGTAGATAATGCTGTGGCATTCGGAAAGGTTGGTTCCGAGTTCGAATCTCAGTGGGAACAGAATCACTCACTGTGGAGATTGCTGATATATCCGGATGACGAGTACGAATTAGGACTAAATGCACATCTTTAGTCTCATCTCAAGTCACCGTCGGCTAAAATAACGTTGTGTTGGGTGAAAATTTTTAAAAAGAATCAATACATCTAGTATACTTTGATTGGTTCTAAATTATTTCATCAAGATTCTTTATTGATTAATTTGTAATAATTTAGAGAACTCAGTGTTTGGAGATAATTAACCAGCAACAGTGAGCACCAATCACTATCAACGAAAGAAATTTGAAAGGCATCACTTCTTTCAATTATCTAGGTGCCATCGTTTCAGCCACAAGCAGACGGTATGGATGCGGTTGTCATAACCAGAATCGGGAAGGAAAGACCGACCTTTATCACCCTGAGATCAGCGTGAAAATCTTTTACACTCAACAGAAAGAACAAAATTCGGAGTTTCAACACAAATGTTAAGCTAGAAGTTAGAATTTATAGCCCATTGAGTCGGGTTTCAGTGGCTGAATGGTATACAAGTGTGTTTTGTTACCTGAAGGAATTGGGTTCGAAACCCCCAGTGGGGGTGTACTGCCAATGATTCCTAAACTAGCATAAGACAGCTGTCTGGCAGTACTTCCTGGTTTCCAATAGTTCTTTAAATGATATCAATCCGTGGTCAAACTAGTAAAAACAAATTTAATCTTTACAAACAGACTCTTGAAAATAGTGTTAAGTCAGTTCTCTTATCTGGGTCAGAAACTTGGCGCGTCATGAAAGGCTTTTCTAACAGATTTCAGATTTTGATCAACAGCATCCCCCTTCGCTGGTTCTACACTCGGTGTCAGATGACCAGAAGTTATTAGCAATAAGGAACTGTGGGAACGAACTAATCAATAATCTACTGCTTGATAAATATTCGGAAGGAGATGGAGGTCGATTGGTCATGCATCATGGAAACGGTTGAGTGAAATCACGTGCTAAGTATGCTCTTAAATGAGAGACGATGAGTTGGGCTTGGTACTGAGGCTTGCATAGAGGGGGTCATGTAAGAAGGAGATGAAAGCTTATGGGTAATTGTGAGGCCAGTTGAAGAGGGCCGCAGAGAACTTGGATAAAGTGTAAATGTGTTGCTGAAGCCGTATGTTCCACTTGGAACCCAAGGAAATAACAACAATATATAATATATATATATATATATATATATATATATAATGTATAAATTCGCTTACTCGGAACATCCTTTTACACCCAAGGTTGAGCACCACACCTATAGTGTGAGAAGGCGGATGATACTACACAGTCGTCTAGGATACAGCAGTACCTGAAGTCGGGGTCGAACTCGCAACCTGTTGGCTGGAAACCAAGTGTATTTTCATCAAATGGGAACCCCCCCTCGACACACACATACACATAATAATTTGAGCCAACTAGTCGTTAAATGTTCACTTAACTAGATGTTTTAGAACAGTGGTTGCAGACTTTTTATGTTTAAAAAAGAAAATCAAAATAAAACAAATCGAAACTGTTGTTTCATTTCGATAGGTTCAATGGTTTGTCAGTCTGATTGTAAAACGTATTGTGAAAACTCTCTTATATTGATTGCATCAGTACTCCTTGTCATCATTATCTAATTTTGTTCATCATATTGCTGTCTTTACGTATTTATTTATTTTTTATTTTTTAGGTAGCGTAATAATGTATGGTGCATTGTTACTATTCGAGGATGAATTTATCCATGTAGTAGCTATTACATTCACTGCTCTACTGCTTACTGAATTACTAATGGTTGCCATCACTATACGTACATGGCATTTACTTATGATTTTAGCTGAAGTCATAAGTTTAGCCATTTATATTGTCGCTTTAATTGTTATGAAGGCATATTTCGGTAGGTTTGTTTTTCTTTTTTGTTGTTGTTTTGTTCGTGTGGGATTGTGTGATGACAGTACGTATGTATGCGTGATGACTGAGTGAATACATGAATAGTTGATCGTCTATTAGAACAGAAGTTTTTAATAGTTTATGTGTATTTCTTTCGGATTTCTTATAAATCCTCCATTTACAGTCTGTTAGTGTCATAGAGAGGTTCCAGTTTCGTGCATTACAATACAATTTTGTTTTGATTGTTTCTCTCTCTCTCATTGATTCAATCCTATTGGATGTTATTTGGCGACCATTCTAATGTTCCTCCAAGGTTTCAGATACGCCTTTCTGTCTAGTGAGTGTCAACTAGCACGAAACCGAGGTCAAACAAAGCTTCCTCTAACCATCTAACATCAACAATTCACAGTGCAGTGCATCGTGATAATGAGTCACCTGGTGGCATGATGGCCACATTGCAAATCTAACTGATAGAATTCTGTCTGCAGTAAACAAAGGATTGACTGACTGACTGACTGGTTTCAACATAGAACTTTGCACCGATGTACAGCAGTTCGACTCGCCACACTTCACTCACCACACAAAACCAGAGAAGAAAGTAAAAAGAAACGCAAAATAGAGACAGTAAACACACAGAGAGATATGAGGCAAAAAGAATAGAAATATGGAAGAGCCAAATAGTTTTATTGGATATTATAAGTCACAAGGAGTGGATACATCTGCACCAGCCATCGAGAACGATTTTGAGCCAGTCATATCACCAATTGTCTCCAACCTTCATTGGTTTTTACCGTCCCGAGGAACCCAACCAGGTAGCTAGTCTACACCTCCCTATGTGGCTGGCTTAAACTAACTGTTGTGGATTTCATTGACTGATGAAGCCATGTTTTGGTTTGACCACCACTGATTATTTTCCAATCTTATCCTTCTTATGTCAACTAACATTGCCTATTGCCGAAGAAGGTGACGGCTATGCACGCGTATAACACGTCCTAACCATCTCAATCGATGTAACCTCCTTACCTAGCACTTGATCAATGCCTAACCTCAATATTGCTCACCCTGTTATACCACTTCACACGGGAGATAGAACGCAGGCACCTATGATCAAAGACAGTTAGCTGGTCTTTTCATGTCTTCCAATCTCAATGGCTATGTCTCACAGCTAGCCATAAAGGAGGATGAAGCGGACTGCTGGGCAGTACCCACGTCCTTCGGTCGATAGCCAGCCGGATATCACGTCTAGACACATTACATGAATTGCTAACTAGTGTCCGATTCAAAGTGTTAAATGTCTTTAGTTAAATAAATTGATGCATTAATGGTAGGTGTATGCTTAAATTATTCGTGGCAGTATATGATCACTTTCTATAAGCTCATGACGTCAGTGCAGGGTTGTACTCCGAATAATAATTCGTCTAATTTATTGGGCGTATTTTAGACTTTAACACTGTGAAATATTCGACTGGGTTTATAACATAAGCACAAAAGGACGCTAAATTGTAGCGTTACAGTTGGTTGCTTTGTTGACATGATGACATAATAAATAATATATATATATATATATATATATATATATAACTTAGACAGTTGGTATTCAGTTATCAATTGGTAAATTTTTCTTATAACGTATTTATTCGAACGTTTTCAGAGTTCTTGCTAGTGTATGGCAGTAAATGTTGCTTTGTAGTCATAGATGTTTGTAACGACCAAAACCGACTCGTTGTGATCTCAAAACAGGAAACGGATCTCTGTGATCTATCGTGAAGCTGAATAAACTTCCTTGAGACACACACACAAACTCACAGTTAAAAAAACCGCTCCAGAAACAGCAAAATGATAGTTATTCATGGATGGATCTATCTACTTCTGTTGAACAAAAACAACAACAATAATAACATTGAGAACTCAAAATTACCTTATTGGTCCCATTAGATAGATAGCTATACAGTCAAGAGAATGTTGTAAGTAAAAAGAAAAAAACAGCTTATTGTAGAAAAGAATTAGTCAACCAAAATTCAACTGTGCGGAAGTACCTGAGAATCACTTCCCAACTAGGTGGGATCAAAACTATGTAGAATTCAGAATCAGAGTAAACAATTTACATCGTAAAACAACAACACATTATCACTATCATCATTACATCATCTCCACACTGAGAGAAGCATTACAATTAGAGATTAAATAGGAACAAAGGCAAGTACTAATAAGGATGAAGTCAGCATGTGATATGCACGCATCAAAACAATGATAGACAGTTGAGGAGAAGAATAGATAATGATTACAAAGTTATTTGAAACACCCAATAAGTAGATAGTCCAGGAGAGATTTTCCAATCAATTATTCCGTTACGAACAATAATATATTCATACAGTGGGGGAGAGGGGAGTGCTACAAAAATAAGGAAGTTGGTTCAAGGTTGTATAAGCTGTCCTGCCTGTCTGTCCGTCTGTCTGTTTTCGACATAGAACTTTGCACCGATTTGCGACATTTCAAGTCTCAACACTCCCCCCATGTAGCACACAAAGCAATAGAAGAAAGTAAAAGAAATGCATAATAGAGACGGTAAACAGAGGTGTGAGACAAAGGAATAGTTATAACGAAGAACAATATAGTTTCATTGGAAATCATAATTCACAGGGAGTGGATGCATCTGCACCAGTCATCGAGAACGATTTTGAGCCATATCACTGATTGTTTCCAACCACTATTGGTTTTTACCGTCCCGATTACCCCCAACGAACCCATTCAGATGGACCGCACACATACGACTATCTACTGGGATCCAGTCAAGAAGTGATTTTTCTGCCCTAACACTCAATGCTGTCCCTACACCTGCGAGTCCTCGCGAGTTAGTTTAGGGGTCTCCTTGACACCCTTAAAGTGAATTTTGCAGATTCAACTTGTTGACCGGGTGAGGTTAAATAAATGACCATACTCAGGTCTTGTATGCGTGTCTCCGAAACACAACATGCATCCATGGCTCGAGATGCCAGAGTTTTTGCTTGTGATGTATGTTGTTCGATTTGACAGACGGTCCTGACGTTAAATGCTCCTATATGAAGTTGGCGATGTGGCTTTACTAAGGCAAACAATAAAGATGAAGTCAGCATGTGATATGCACGCATCAAAACAATGATAGACAGTTGAGGAGAAGAATGGATAACGATTACAAAGCCATTTGAAAGATCCAAATAAGTATCAATATTGTGAGGGCAAGGCTACAAAAATAAGGAAGTTGGTTCAAGGTTGTAAAGCCTGTTCGGGAAATGTCTTGTACAAAGTAATATCCATTAAATAGGAAATAATAGGACTGCGGTGAATAGCTCATTATCAATACGAATTTTTTTGTTCCTCTACGTTCCCAGTGGAACACAGGGCGTCTTCAAGCTAAAGCCTTGAAGTTTCGGTAGCACAGTGGTGCTCACGTTTACGCTATGGGATTGCTAGCCTCAACACCCAACCTTCCGCATATACTTACTGGGTTAGCAAGGTAAAGGAGTGCTTCGGTGACCGGGGATCAAACCGAACCGAACTGAACCACCTGCGTGGTTGGTGAGCATTTCACCGTTGTGCCACTGACGCAGACTGAATACAGTCGTACAGAATTAACTTGATAACGATTAAGAAACGTCAAACACATTGAAGCAAATTGATATTACTATCCAAGGCATAATTTGGCACCTGCAGATGAGATTGTGTATTATTGTCACTATTGGAAATTGTCGCCTTTCCATTGACGGGTTCTTACTCTAATCACAACGTACACTGTTCGTTAATTTTTTTATTTTTGTCTTTTCTTTTTTTTAAAATTTAGATTCTGTATTTCTGAGGACAGTTGGATTCGTCTGGAAAGTTTTAGCCATCACAGGTGTCAGTTGTATACCAATTTTAATATTAAAGTTTATACACTATAAATTTCGACCATCTATCTACTCAAAATTACAGTGATCATACTACACACATACACGCACACACAGGCATACAAACAAATACCATCTGTGATTTCACTGACGTTTCTGTTATGACTCCTTTCATTAAATAATGATACTGACATATAAAAAAGAACACATGCTCGCATAATTTACATATCGAATCATTACTACTATTATTATTATTATTGTTACTATTGATAAAAAGCCAAAAGAAAGAAACTAGATTCTCATGTAACTCTTTTTTTTAAAGGAAAAAACTTTTATTTTCACATGTTTTTTTGTTTTTTTCTGTTTGTCTGTTTCGTCTTTTGTTGTTTTTACTGTTGTTGTTATCCTATGAATTATTTGGATCCACTGCCTGACCCCACTGCCGCCTACTTTTCTTCCAGTCACCACAACACACACACTACACTACTGCCAACCAACTGTTGTCTGCCTGTTGGGCAGTCAGTCAATGAGCCTACAAAGCTATCTCACATTTTAATACCACGACAAGAAGTAACACTATCGGTCATACACACCATTTTTAAAAATAATCCTGTTTTGCTTTTTATCCAACCAAAAGATTGTTCTTGTCTGATTTGATTTGATCAATTGAGACATTTTATAAAAAAGGAGGCTTTGATATTTAACCAGTAATCAGCAGTATGCTGCTTTATAATGTCAAGGGAGAGAATCATGTCGAGTGGTGTTCATGCTTTTCTTTTTTGGTTTGCTTTGATAAAAATCTCACAGCTGATTCATTGACGCGTTTTTGATTGTTGTTATTATCACTATTATTATGATTATTGATCCTATCTATCTAAATCAGCACAGAACAGTATCTATCGTTTATTATTGTTTTTATTGTCTTTCTTCAGTTATTGCTCTTTAATAAGTAATGATAGATAGATAGATAGCGTGTGGGCTTCTTTCTGGTGATATACTGTGTGATTGTGGTTATTTGACTGACTTTTATTGATTTTCTAATCTCTTATCACATTTATATATTTATTTATTTAATTTATCTGTATATCGCGATCTCTCGCTCTCTCCCTCCTTCTTTCTCATTTTTCTTTGAGATTCATGTTGTTTCTTGATCAATGATGATGACATTGTGTATTTTGTTGTGTTTTTTTAATGTCTCAATATTATTATAATGATTACTAATGCAGAAATTTAAAATATATACTTGTATCGATTTTCAGTAGTCTATCGGTGTGGATATATGTATGTTTATGCACGTGTGACAATATTAAGAGAGTTTCTTGTTTCATATCGTTTTGTTGCCGCGTTCTGTTCTGCTTTAGCATTCATTTTATGCTTGTCATCGTGATGCATTTTGTATCTTCTAATGCTCTATCTTGTCAATTTTTTGTTTGTTTGTTGTATTATTAAGGTTAGTTATTTGGCAGTGTCGATTATCACTCATTTTCATGTAGGTATGCTGCTTCAAAAAAGTGATAATAGAAAGGTGACTAACAAAGGAAACAGTTTATGTGAGAGTATTATTATTATTATCATCATTATTATTATTGTTCTCCCCGTTGGGTTCCGAGTGAGGTACGGAGCTTCAACAGTACACCTTCATTTCACTTTGTTCTCTGTAGTCCACGATTGCCCCACGGTACGCTTTCATCGCCTTCTTAAAAGATCTCCTCTATATCAACATAGAAGCGATGCCCAACTCTTCGTTTCCCCATTCGTGTTCCATACGGTTGTCGGCCTGACGCGCAATGTCACTCGACAGTCTTCCCACCGTGTCTTCATTTTCTTCAGGATACTTGTAGAGCAACAGGTTCTTGGTTGGTTCGTTTCCAGTGTTACTTGGTGCTAATTCGCTCTGGCCGGCTCTGTGGTCTTCAGTAATGGAGGCTTCAAAAAAGGTAGCTTCTTTGTGGAAGTCTGCAGTAGTCTGTTGGAAATGTTTTTCGGCATGTGTCAAGTTTCTTTCACCTACATAGATGAACTAACTGATTTAATAATGGTGTTGAAAATTCGAATTTTGTTTTTCTTGCTGGATGCAGAAGATTTCCACACATTAATCCTATTCTCCCTTTGATATTTGCATTTATTCCACCTATAGTTGAAAAAACCATGGTGACACTAGGTAAGTGAAAGAGGTGGCTTCCACCGAATTTCTCTTATTGATGGTGTTTTTCTTCTTCTTGTTGGTTCGGTATCTCCATCACCTGTGTCTTCACTTGAAGCCTTGTCCTCTTTGTTAGCCTCTTTTGCCAACTTTTTGGTTTACGCCTGCAAGTCTTCGAATTTATGTGACATTAAACATAAATCATCCACAGAATCCAGATCCTTCTAGCGGCTTCTTATCGACCTAGCATATTCCTGTCTTACTCCCACGCATAGTGTGCTGCCTGATCCAGTTCACCACTACCAGGAATATCATCGATGACAATAGACAAATATGTTGGAGAAAATGGAGATAGATTCGGTATATGTTGAGGAGGTCGTCGAGTGGCATCTCGTGCATTGCAGGCCATCGCTCGAGTGGAAGTGAAATGGGATTGAAGAGTGGGTCTTCAGCGCGAGGGTGAAATGGAGGATATCACGTAGCGAGGAAAAGATGAGAAAATATTGTCAATTTCGGATCTAGCTGAAGAGGACAGCACCATAATAGAAGAAAGTGGCAGTGTGTTGTTGAAGCCAAGGGAATAATAATAATAATAGATAGATAGCCTTGTCTTACTCCTATCTTCACTGTAAAATGTATCTCTGAGGCTTTCGTCAGGGATCACCATATAGCAGTTGAACAAATTTGATAGAAGTATAGGTTACCGCACTCCGTATTGTTGAAATAGTTTCCAAATAACTTCACGCTCAACACTGTCGAGGTCGATGAAGTTGAGGTAGAAATTTGACTCCCATATATATATATATATATATATATATATATATGATAGTGATGTGCGGCGTTGCAGTGTGTTCAGCACATGATTTGATTAGGGATAAGTTTGTCAATAAATAACATCTGTGAAAAGTTTTTGCATCACAGAATAGTTCAATTAATTACAACTATATTTAGAAGGTTGTTTATGCACATACCAAAATCAACGACTACTTATTTAATTATTGTGTGTAAACAATCATTGAAATATTGTTATAATTAATTAGTGAGTGAAAAGTAACAATGTAAATATTGATTGGTATGAGGAGGAACAGAAATTTGTGTTGGAAGTAGAACAAAAGATACACAGAATAATCAATATATTATAGATGAAGACAGAGATAAGACGACATATGGACAGGTCGGTGCTATCTTTACGACTAATTCTGATGTACATTAATTTGAGATGTGTGCAGTGTTCTGAACTGTAATTTGATTGCAATCAAAATGGAATGATAACATGGTTAGGGTATATTTGGGTTTCGTAACTCAGCTGGTAGAACACCGGACTAGTGATTCGGTGGCTGCTGGTTGGAATCTGAATTCGGTGTCGATTAGCGTTTCATCTCTCCAGTCATCAGTTAAACGTCAATCAAAAGCTGCATGGCTGTCAAATCAAAGATATCTCAGATATAGTCTGACTGGCAGTTTAATTTCTATTTGTTTTTATCATAAGGCACGAATCTATGTGTACTAGTTAAGATCGGAGCGTATTCGTGTCTTCGTTACCTAGTTTCACTTTCTTGTGTTACCTGTTTTTGATGTGACAACTTTGCATACAGCAAGCAGTACTGGATGTCATTTAACGGTCTCCTTGGTGTGTAACCGATCCATCTTCATTTCTTTAGGAATATTTGTTGAGCAACAAGTTCTCGATTGGTTCGTTCCCAGAGTTACCTGTCACTTATTCTTTATGGCCAGACATCTGGTCTTCAAAAGGGAGTTAGCCAATGGTTTAGCTGTTGATAGAAGTCTGCAGTAGCTTATTAGAAGTGCTTTTCGCGAAGCGTTCGCCAAGAAGTTTCCGAGGTATGCAATAGAACCGACTACCTTAATATTGGTGTTGAAAATTCGAATTTTGTTGTTTACGCTGCAGATTGCTTAAGATATCGAAAGTGATGAAGGTTTTCATCGAGTTACCGATTCTGATTTTGGCGTCGTCATCCGTTCTGTCTGCGAATAGTTGGAACGATGATACCTGACCAGATGAGTGAAGGAAGTGACGTCTTTCAAATCTCTTGCGTCGATAATGACTACTACTTACTCGTTGAGTACTCGATCATACGTCCTATAAATGATTCGCAACGTGATATGTGAAAGGTTTCAATATGTTGATATGTATCTTGGGTGGTTGGTTGAAATGAATGAATGCAATAGGCTGGTCAATGATGAAAAGAGTTGTTTACAAAGAGAATTAACTTCATGTGGATAACGGTGAGTTGTCATCTGAAGTGGTGTCGGTCAGGGATGCCCACCATCCCTATTTCTACTCAATTTCATCATAGATGTACTATTGGACTTAACCATAACTCACTTCAGAGACTCAGGGATTTACTTGTTACCAGGGAATAATAGTCTCGTTGACTTAGAATATGCAGATGATATAGTCCTCCTAGGTGAGTTGAAGACGCTGACAAAATGCAGAGTCTTTTGAACACCTTGAGGTGAGCGGTGATCTTCAAATGTTTAGCATGCAATTCGCTCTCTCCAAATGTAAGATGATGCTACTGGACTATATTGGCTCCTAGGTAAAAGATAGGGAGTGTGTTGACCATTTCATTTATTATGGAAGTTGCATCAGCCAACGCCAGCGGGTTGATCTCTGACGAAATCTCATCACCGATACAGAAGGCTCGTTTCGCATATGCCAGTTTACACCGTTTCTGGCGTAGACATGATATCCGACTGGCTGTCGATCAAAGGACGTGTGTACTGCTCATCAGTCCGCTCCGTCCTCCTTTATGACTATGAGTGAGACATGGCCACTGAGAGTGGAAGAGATGAAAAGCCTGGCTAGCTGTCTTTAATCATACGTGCCTGCATTCTATGTTAGCTCACATAGGATGAATCAGGTTAGAAAGGAGCCAGTAGTGGTCAAACTAAAACATGGCTTCATCAGTCTATGAAGTCCA